CAGAATTTCATGGAACAAAAACATAGGTATAAATTACATTAACAAATTAAAAAAAGTAAACACTGTAAATTAAATAAGAATACATTTTATTTCATACAGCACAAGGTCTAATCTAGCTTACAGTGTAAATAACGTATCTCCTACACTATGTTAGTCGTCTGACCGCAGTTTCATAATATTTGGACCATCACATATTGAGCCGATTTCATACTTTAATGATCATTTATTTATATTCATTTTCAGTACTAATTTATGTTTTTTTTAAGTAATTTAAATTCAAGCAAAAGTTAACAAATCACGGTACAACACGCTTTACGCGATGATTGTATGTATGTTATTCTTTTTTGAAACGTAACGACTACGAGCGGTTTCACATTACGTCCGAATCGGTATGAGTAGCCTTATTTCTGACATTTTGCAAGATGTGATTTAGCAGAGGGCCTAGTGTGAGATTAACATCAAACGCGCTCACTTGAGCGCGTCAAAAAATGACATTAAATGTATGACAGCGCCCCTAGCGGGAAACGTTCAAAAACTAAAATTGATTTAAACTCACACTCAGCCCACAGATCAATGAATTTAGTAACAACAATTCAAGTTTATACAATGTTACTTTAAATGTATAACAAATATGAACAAGATAAAACATTTATTAGTCTTTAAAATAATGGTAAACAATATAAAAGCTCATAGTAACACGATTTTATATTTCTAATTGATCCATAATCAAAATTAGGAATAAAATATCAAATAATTCAGGTTTATTTCCTCAAGAAAACTGATATTTATTTTCAATATTAACATAATATAATTACTCGCAAGACCATTGGTTGTTAATTAACTGATTAAAATCGGCTCCAAACAATAAATTCATTATAAATAACACTCACTAAGCTCATCTACACTTGAAACAAACGTCAAGGGATAATACACTCGACTTAGATGTATATAATTTACGATAAATGAATCTTCTACCGATAGAAGCATGAAGGGAAGGCAGCTGTCCCCACCCCTTTAATTTGATTTGCCCCTCCCTAGGCCAGATTACCCCCTTCTAGGCCAGACTGCCTCCTTAGGCCTAAAAGCTACGCCCATGTCTATGTGACGCGTTTATTAAAATCACGAAAGGCTCTAAATCCAAGTTAATGCCGTTAGAAAAAGAAAATTTCTTCTTTTTCTTATTTTGTTTACGGCCCCACTGGCCTAATACACGTATTTTGACAGTCAAGATCTCGCTGACGTCCAGAAGTTGTCCCATTGAAAAACAGTTCTAAGTTCGTATTCACAAAATTAATTTTGATAGAACGATTACTCGATAGGATCGCAACTCAGCGATTTGTTTTCATCAAAGTTTTGTTACGTCGTCCCATTGAAAAGCAGTTCTAAATCCGTATTCACAGGGGTCATTTTCGATAGAACGATTACTTGATAGGATCGCAACTCAGTGTTTTGTTGTCGTTGAAGTTTTGTTACGTGAATAAGGCTACAGTTCTGAGATACGGCCCACAGAGTGACCTCTCCAATGAATCCTGCCAGTCATGTTAATATCTACATGGAAAAAAAAACAATTTAGAGAACGAATCAAAAAGTCGATGTATATCATCCATTGACAAGTATTGTAGATACAATGTGATTTTACAAAACCTAATACATCTAGCATGATTAAACAATAAAAATACTATAAAACGAATACTTACAATGATGGATACTGCAAGGCACAGTAATAGGCCACATATTGTATAATGTATATAAAATCTAAATATACATATTCTTGTATCATTATAATATACACGGCGATTACTTTTAGAAGTGTAGATATTGACATTTTCAAATAATTGTCCTTTTTACACACTACAAGTTAATAGGACGGTAAAACTTATAGCAATTCTGTATTATTATAATGATACAAAAGCACATATCACCTTTTACGCTCCGTGAGCCACAAAACTGCGTAAAAACGCATAAAGTAACATTAAAACATCATATTGAACCTAACAACTTATTTGCTAGGACTTGTGAGATTTTGCCTAAAAAAAATACTTTTCTAAGTCAAATCGATAAGAAATAACTCCGATACCAATACGAATAATCGTTTTTGGTTTAAAAACATTACATAAACATACTTAAATAAATAACATAGCGTAAGCTAAAATAATATTAGTTTAGCAAGTTATATTTTGTTCTATTCAACGGCACGATGTAGCTTGTAGCATCTCTGTGGCAAACTGTATATTCATTTCACAAATGTTTCTTGGAAAATGTTGAATTAAGTACTTGCCTAAGAGATTCTTAGCCGAACTAGTCTTTTAAATAAACTACAAGAACAGTCCCACCAGTGACATTGACAGGGGGGCGCCACCGTCAATACCGGATCGCGGGTTCCGATTTTTGCCATGTTAGGAACTATGTAGTTGAACTATAGTGGCGCCCCCCTGTCAATGTGTTTGGTGAGACAGTTCAATGTAGTTCATCTCTGAATGGAATGATGTGTTTAAATATGACAATAGTAACTAAAATGGAGGATACACCGGTGTCAAGAACCAGTAGTAAACCATTTCAATATTCACACTTAATAATGTATTTTAATAAAAATCGAGACATGGAATGAAAAATCTAGCGTTACTCATAGTTTCATATTAGCACCTAGCAAAGGAAGAATTTATTTAAGTACATACTTTAATACTGTTATTTTATGAAAATACCAAAAAAATGCATGTTTTAACATTTAACCTAAAATAACCCCTGATGAAACGCCACAGAGTTGCGAATGTAATGAATAAAATTAATAAAAAAAATGATTTACATGACAGAAGATCACACGGTCCGAAAAAAAATGTTTTAATGATTGATTTCTGTTTATAAATTGTATCATAATCAATGATACTATGTATTCATTTCTAGTTTTGGTTTCATGATTTGTTTTTCTTTACTTAAAAACAAGTGTTAGAAGGAAAATGTAAATAGGTATTTGCATGTCCTAATTTAAAATCATTTTGCCTATAAAACAACTATGAAACGTAAGAAATAATTAAAATTCTAAGTAAAAACAGTAAGTGTTTACAAAATCAAATAATAAATACAGGTACACTTAATAATGACATGTGATTAATAGTAAGTACCATCGGAAACAGTGTTAACTATCCATTGCCTGTCATGTCGTCTCGTTCTATCGCAAAGAATCACCATTGATGAGAGCGAGAGCAAAAACGGAAATGGATAGTTAACAGTGCGGCCGTGTGTACAATCCTATTGAGCTAACTACGCACATCGCTGGAATGCGACTCTCCCTCGCACACCTCCCCGCGTTCGTCCCGTCCGTACCAGAGCGGCGATGTGACGTCACGGCTGCCTGGTGCGCAGTTAACTCAACCGGATTTTGTTTTACGAAAGTAACCTCTTTTTACTGTTTTTAAATTGACAATTAAGATTCTGCATATTGTAATGAAGGCACGCGACGTGGCTTTAAATGGATATCGATTGTTTTTGAATAATCGATTTTAATTCAATATACTACTTAATATGATAATAATTGATTTAAGGACTGATTATGACGAAAATTGATACCATGGTAAAAGGCACATGTAGTGTAAAAATAACTAAAAGTATTTTGAATGTTTAAGAGAATACTAAATAATAATTTTCTAACAATAAATGAGTTAAGATTATAAAAATAATTTTGATTTTAATACATTAATGATATAATGGTGTTTTTTTTATTGATATGCGTTATTTTAATAATAGGATATAAATTTAAGGTTTTTCATACATTTCTAATGGTCAAAATAACCACAAAGGCCGCAATAAAATACTTATTTTAGATATTTTTTCAATCTAATTAACTATTTATGTGATTTATAATACATTTTATCTTATGTATATTATTTAGGTATATGAGGCATACTATATTATGAATTTTGCTATTGTTGATCTAGAATTGAATTGATAGATCACGGAATGATAATTTTGAGCGATTTAATAGAGTTCATTTGATATTTCTGAGCAACGATTTTGGAATTTCATTCTGCACTTAACTAACGTCTTTTAGTAACAGAGTTGTCTAGTGCTTAACTAAGTAAGTGCTTGAGGTATGGGAGCGGCAAGTGAGAGTTTCTGGGATGTTAAACATCAGCGACACTTCAAATGTGCTTTAGATTTGTATGCTCTGTCACTTCATTTTTTTTTATCCACAACGAGGAAGCTCTTGGCCTGTATCTCACCTGATGGTAAGTGACGATCCAGGCCGAAGGTGGAAGCGAGCCTCACCCGGAATCCTCAACCACGGAGGAACTGGCTATCTTACCTCTAACTGCCGGAACACTACAATGCTGTTAACATTGTTGTTATGGCGATAGACTTAGGTAAGATGGTGGTAGCTAGCCAGGCGGACTTAGAACAAGCCCTACCACCAACCAAACCGAACAGAAAAATGTACCCCCACTGGGAATCGAACCCGGGACCTCTGCGTCTGAAGCAGGTGGTCTTACCACTAGACCACAGAGGCGGTTATGTCAAAGTCACCCTCTCCCGTGTCGCTCCCATACCTCAGGCACTGACTAAGAGCAAGACCTATAATTATTACAAATAATCTATAACATTATATTTACTTATCCATGATATAACTGATTATTATTATAATAATCATCCCATAAGTAATGTGAATCGATAATAAAACTTAACTTTAATAGCCATTACAATATAAACATAGAAATTTATAAAGAAAGGACGTAAAATGTTATAAAACTCATAGTTGCCCGAGATTCTTTATAAATTTCAACCTTTATAGGTCGTAGGCTATAAGAAACATCCATGCTATAGATATGGCAGTTAACTATAGTGTTAATAGCACTACATTTTGATTGCTATAGTCTGGTCTCTGAGCACGTAGAATTTTGTCCAATGACCCCAAGCTACCCATCCTTATCGCGCGTAATTATTTTGCTGTCGCGACTGTGCGACGGGCGCCTGCAGTGAGTGTGCGAGAGCGTCGACAGCAACATAATTACGCGTGAGTGCTAAGGATAGGTAGCTTGGGGTCATTGGACAAAATTCTATGTGCTCAGAGACTGGGCTTTAGGAACTTATTTCTCTAATGTTTTTAGGACGGAGACCACCGAACATTAACCGAGCGAGATAAATAAGATTTAAAGCCACATACATTTCATAATTGGCTAACGTAATGATCGAAAACGCTAGTCATATCTATAGCACAGACATAAACAGTGTCTTGTCAATTGTATGCATAAAATTAACGCTAACAACGAATTTATTGCTTGTATATTTACATATATTTTACCTACTTTGACACTCAAGTAATAAGGCATGCATGGAATGTTTCGAGCTGATCTAATACTTATTGTCCTCGTAACAAGGTTTGTTTTGCACCGTTGATCACTGTGGAATGTCTGCCGCTGGGTTAGACAGTATCACTAAGCCAAATTTCACTTGTGACGTGATTCTGTGATGAAACCGTTTGATTCCAAAGAGTTTTGACGTGACGTAGTGAGCGAAAGTTTAAGTTGTTTAATGCCAAGTATGTATGTATAGGTTGCCTTTTTCCTCATATCGCAAATAGAAGACAAATTTTAGATCTCTTATACTGGGTATAGAATTTCTTTTTGATTGGAGTTTTTAAGCTATAGTTGGTATTGCTTGCAAAACCACAATAGTAAATGCCTTTAAAGCATGGTACTATGCGCGTATGGAGAGAAATTAACACCAGGTGCGATTGCGGTCAAATACTGATCAGATGCCATTTTGGTGCGTGTACTCTGTTAATTATTTGTAATGCTTTTAATACTCGCATCAAATAAATACTTTCTTTCTTTCTTCTTTCTTTACTAAGCCTTATAGATGAATAGACTTGATAAAGCTGAAAAAATGCCTGTTACAATCTCACTTCACTCACTATCACTTCATTTCACTATCACTTCGGAATCACTGGCACATCACTAGAACCGGTATCACTTCAGCACAAGAATCTTGTGCTAGAGATGTAGCACGTGGCCGTCGTCTTTGGCCGGAAGAGCTGGTTCGGGACGGTCTTCCAGCGTTACGGCTGTGAGGTCGACAATCTCGTCCTGCTCGTCTTGGTCGAATCTGAAAGAGAGAGATATTTAAAATTAATGCCTTACATTTCTACAAGAAGTCGTGGAAAATTGAGAGCACAGTTCAAAAGTCAATAATGCTAGGTGCATTATTAATTTATTTTTGAGCAACGGAACTACGAATTGTGTTGTTCCGGCAGTGTAAATTGGACTATCCCAACCAAACTCTTCTCTCATGGGATTCTCTAGTGACATCCATGCCATAAGAGGCGACTATGGTAGAAACTTGTGGGGATAGACCGAACCCATACATTTTGTTATGCTACTGCACTGGACAAAATTCCTAGCTTACAACAATTAATTATTATGAGAAAACTTTGTAAAAGAGGGCTGAATTCAGTTTTACATGGGCGAAGCTGGGTGCTTCTAATTCAGGAGGGGGGGTGAAATTTGATCAGAGGGCGGTGAGTCCGATCAGTGGAGAAGTCTGATCTGAGGGGGAGGAATCTGATCAGGTGAAGAGTCTACTCAGAGAGGATAGGAGTCTACGCCCGGTGGCACCGCACTGCAATACTCTCATAGATAGACACTAAAGGACCGGTGGCACCGCACTGCAATACTCTCATAGACACTAAAGGACAAAAGTAAGATAGGTGTTTAGCGGGTATCTGCCCTCCCGTGCCCCATCACTCTGGGTGCTTCATTACCTGTCCTCGTCGGGCTCGCTGCAGGGCTGCGAGTGGCGGCCGGCGTCGGAGGCAGCGGTTCAACGCTCATTGGAGGAGGCCTTTGTCCTGCAATGACGTCCATTGCATTTGGCTAAAACGAATGAGCGAGAGAGACGCTCACCTGTCCTCGTCGCACTTGTCCTGCAGTGGACGTCATTTGGCTGAAACGAATGAGTGAGAAGGACGCTCACCTGTCTTCATCTGGCTCGCTGCAGGGCTGCGAGTGGCGGCCGTCGAGCTTGTTATAACAGAGGGCTTAGCAAATGATTACATTTGTAGTTCGTGAGTGAGAAAATACCTCTATATCCAGGTGATATAGGCATAAATCCTGGGGGGTATGTACCAGGAGGTGCCTTAGGACTTATGACGGGAGGGTGATGATCGCCCCGGGTGCCAACCCATGCTACGCTGCCACTGTGCTCACCTGTCTTCATCGGGCTCGCTGCAGGGCTGCGAGTGGCGGCCGGCGTCGGGCGCGGGCGCGCGCTGGTTGGCGGGCCGCACCGTGATGATCAGGTTCGACGAGTTCGCCACCATCATGTCCGTCACCTGTGGTGGAACGACGGGTATGTCAAACATCTACACATCGAAAAAACAAGATAAGGAAAACTTTATTTGACACAAAAAAAAGAACAAGAGTGACATAAAACTATAACACGCATATTTTTAATTAAAATAGTAAGGCACGGGTCTTATCGCGACCTTTATTAATGAGTTACAATGTACTCACGGCTTAAAATCTTACGCATATTTTTGTGCCAAAAAGGCGCATTAATCGAGTCCTGCGTGCATGCACGCGTGCCCCGACACTGGTTTTCAGCGGGTGCCTCCAGCCAACATTTTAAATTATAAAAAACATACATACAACATTGACAGGAGGGCGCCACTATCTCACCACTCCGATTTTTTGCCAACGTGGGTTAAATTAGTCACTCGCCACTGTACAAAACTGTGGAAAAGAAGGTTTTGACCAGGACTAAGCAACCTGGTCCAGCGGCTTGTTGGAGACGTCGAAGCCGGCGACCTCGACTCTGATAGCAGACAACGCATTTGGTTCACTAAAGGAAGTGACTAGCACGCTGAACTGACTCCCGACGGGGCAAAAAGTGAGCGTCCTCTGGCTGAAGCGCCTACAATCCACCCACCTGGTCCAGCGTCTAGGTGGAGACGTCGATGCCGTTGACTACCAACCTGAGTGTCTAAGCGGAGAGGAGACACACTTCGCTACGCTGCCTCTAAGTGTCTTAGCGGAGTGGGAAGCGGAGAGGAGACAGTCACCTACGCTTTAGAGGAGCGGAGACACGCAGTCCGCTACGCTGCCTCTAAGTGTCTTAGCGGAGCTGGTTGTGGAGAGGAGACACACTCCGCTACGCTACCTCGAAGTGTCTTAGCGGAGAGGAGACACGTAGTCCGCTACATTGTCTCTAAGTGTCTTTTTGGAGCTGAGAGGAGACACGCAGTCCACTACAAGTGTCTTAGCGGAGCGGAGAGCGGAGAGGAGAAAAATACAGTCCGCTCCGCATCACTCCGTTCTGTTGTCACTAGAGCCTATCAACCAAGTCTCTAAGCGGAGCGGAGAAAAACAGTGTGTCTCCGCTCCGCTCCGCATCACACCGTTCTGCTGTCTCCAAGTCTCTAAGCGGAGCGGAGACACAGTCCGCATCTTCGCTCCGGCCTGGCGCACCTGGTCCAGCGTCTTGTTGGAGACGTCGATGCCGTTGACCTCGAGCACCTCGTCGTTGACGCCCAGCAGGCCGGTGGACTCGGCCAGCCCGCCCGGCACCAGCCGCGAGATGAAGATGCCCGGGGAGTGTCTAGCGGAGCGGGGAGCGGAGAGGAGACCCAGTGCCTCGAGTGTCTAGCGGAGCGGGGAGCGGAGAGGAGACCCAGTGCCTCGAGTGTCTAGCGGAGCGGGGAGCGGAGAGGAGACACAGTCCTTGTCTCCGCTCCGCTCCGGCCTGGCGCACCTGGTCCAGCGTCTTGTTGGAGACGTCGATGCCGTTGACCTCGAGCACCTCGTCGTTGACGCCCAGCAGGCCGGTGGACTCGGCCAGCCCGCCCGGCACCAGCCGCGAGATGAAGATGCCCGGGGAGTGTCTAGCGGAGCGGGGAGCGGAGAGGAGACCCAGTGCCTCGAGTGTCTAGCGGAGCGGGGAGCGGAGAGGAGACACAGTCCTTGTCTCCGCTCCGCTCCGGCCTGGCGCACCTGGTCCAGCGTCTTGTTGGAGACGTCGATGCCGTTGACCTCGAGCACCTCGTCGTTGACGCCCAGCAGGCCGGTGGACTCGGCCAGCCCGCCCGGCACCAGCCGCGAGATGAAGATGCCCGGGGAACGCTCCACCCCACCCGGGGTCACGCGGACTGACGTGCCGTCTCTGAAAGGGTTAACAAAGTTATTTTTTCCCCTCGTGTTAGGCTAAATAATCTTGTGTTACTATAGTCTTTTTCAATAAGATGATCCGTATGACACTTCAAAGTTATCCATATTACGCATACTACATATGCAGAATATTTAAAAAAAAATATTTGTATTTTATTAGCAATATAATAAAAAAAAATTAACTACTTGTCTTGAAATATATAGTAAAATCTGAGTCTATTGATTATATTTTAATTAAATACGATGTAAAAATATTTTTTATTTAATGTACGCAATGTGTGAAACGGAATAGATTTAGTGCTGGGGTATTTCTTGTATAATAAAATCGATTATTACCGCGGTTCATTAATCGATTGCAGTGAATACTTAGTTATTAAAAACATCACAAAAATCAACTATATTTTTCGATTATTGACTTTAATAAACGCATTGAAAATAAATTAATAGTTTTTAATTTAAAGAAACAGAACCAATACTTTTTAGGAATCGTTTTTTTTGAACACGAACCATGAAATTTGAATGTTATCAATAAAAAATTGTTACAATAATATTTGTAATTAAAAAAAACATGTTTTTTGTTAAATAACACCTATACAAAATAATTCTCTAAAAGTAGGTTTTACTAACTCTTCGAAAAAAATCGATAGATAAATCGCTATGATTTAGTTATGTGACATCTCTAAATCTTTCAAACTCGAAACGTCATACGGATCATCTTAGGTGAAAAAGACTATAGTGGGCTCAAAGTCAAAGTCAAAAGTCAAAATTTCTTTATTTGTTTAGACTAATAAATAGTTATTACAAATCGTCATATGCTCTTAAGGAGCCTCTACATGTCTCATAATCTTTTTACCCTACCAGCGCTTCGAGACCAACATTTGGCAAGTGCTGAGAAGAAGCGCCGCAACAAACTCAGTCACCACTGTCTGCCGGTTAATATAAATAAATAGAATTAGTAGTAGTAGGTACATTCGATTCAGGAGCAGTTCACTGAATTTACCATGCATTCTTGTATGGTGTATCTTATAAGAATGGGTATACAAGATTGCGTGGTATATTAAACAAGGTAGTGACGTGCTAATATCTAGACTTACATATTAAGGTACTAGTAGAAATGACTCGCATACATAAATTTGAATAACTTGGATTGACCAGTCCCCGAAAGCAGCGCCTGTTCACAGACATGACGAGTGAACCAGTCATCGCTTCACTCGACCATATTAGTTCCGTTCGGCTATCGTGGCTATAAGTTATCTGTTAAAATTTGAAAGGAAAGGTACGAGTTCGAAGCAGACTAAATCCTTGCTCGCACTTGTCGAGAGTCGAATGGCGAGTAATTCAACTGCCTCTGTGGTCTAGTGGTAAGACCACCTGCTTAAGACGCAGGGGTCCCGGGTTCGGTTCCTAGTGGGGGCAGATTTTTCTGTTCGGTTTGGTTGGTGGTCCGCCTGGTTAGCTAAGTGTCGCCATAAAAACAATGTTCACAGCATTGTTGTGTTCCGGCAGTTAGAGGGTAAGATAGCCAGTTCCTCAGTAAATACGGGCGTTATTAATTTTGGCACCCCCTAATAACTGTTGTAGGTCCAGTTGATTCCTACCCTCCCCATACTTGACCCAAACACAAACTGTTGAATATTGACTTACCTAATAAAAAATCCTAAAGGTCTGTCTGAGCCGTGCTTCAAAAGCTTCACCCTTCTACACGTCTCCGGAACTATGTCCACGTCTATGATTGCTGATACCTGAAATATAAAACGCAACGAATAAACAACAAATAATGCATAGTTTTATACGAATACATAAGTAGTGTTGAATGTTGATATTTCGTGGTGAAATCATTATACTGTGCACTAACGTATTTCATTAGTTATGATAATCTTGACAGTTACAGAAGAAGGCGAAAGGGAAAGTGTTGCCAACCTGAAATTAGCAGTATAGATAAAAAGAAATATATTTTTTATTTTTAAGCATAACAAGGCAGGTATCTGACCACAATCGCACCTGGTGTTAAATCACCCTGTAAGTGTTTATTCACTCACTCTCGCCTTGAAAAGGCCCGCATTATAGTGTTCAGGAAAGAAAGCAGCAGGCGGCGAATTCCAGTCCCTAGCTGTTCGCATTATGAAAGAGTCATCGAAACGCTTAGTGCGAGCTGGTGGAGGAATGTTTACAATGTAGGGACTAGGGATGTTACACTGTGGTCCTTGTCTCACATTAATTTCTCTTTATCATGTTTGCCATTTGCATTGGCATGCCTTCGACATAGGGGGCAGCGAGAATGGGGTGAATGCTTACTCCATGCAGGATCCTAGCATGCTGACATCTCGCCGAATTAATAACTAGAAACAACAATAGTAGGTACTTACCATCTTGAAGGTTGGAAATGGCCAGCCCCTTGTCTCAGGATCGACGAGATGATATCCCGTCGCATCGTCCGCCCCTCCCCCCCTCAAAAGTAACCCTAGATACGCCAATGCTTACCATCCTGAAGTCGTGCGGGTTGGATATGGCCAGCCCCTTGTCTCAGGATCGACGAGATGAAGTCCCGCCGCATCGTTATTGAGTTCCTCACTGTGCAGGTGCCGCTAGCAGCAAGGTCTTACCATCCTGAGGTGGTGCGGGTTGGATATGGCCAGCCCTTTGTCTCAGGATCGANAGACCAACATTTGGCAAGTGCTGAGAAGAAGCGCCGCAACAAACTCAGTCACCACTGTCTGCCGGTTAATATAAATAAATAGAATTAGTAGTAGTAGGTACATTCGATTCAGGAGCAGTTCACTGAATTTACCATGCATTCTTGTATGGTGTATCTTATAAGAATGGGTATACAAGATTGCGTGGTATATTAAACAAGGTAGTGACGTGCTAATATCTAGACTTACATATTAAGGTACTAGTAGAAATGACTCGCATACATAAATTTGAATAACTTGGATTGACCAGTCCCCGAAAGCAGCGCCTGTTCACAGACATGACGAGTGAACCAGTCATCGCTTCACTCGACCATATTAGTTCCGTTCGGCTATCGTGGCTATAAGTTATCTGTTAAAATTTGAAAGGAAAGGTACGAGTTCGAAGCAGACTAAATCCTTGCTCGCACTTGTCGAGAGTCGAATGGCGAGTAATTCAACTGCCTCTGTGGTCTAGTGGTAAGACCACCTGCTTAAGACGCAGGGGTCCCGGGTTCGGTTCCTAGTGGGGGCAGATTTTTCTGTTCGGTTTGGTTGGTGGTCCGCCTGGTTAGCTAAGTGTCGCCATAAAAACAATGTTCACAGCATTGTTGTGTTCCGGCAGTTAGAGGGTAAGATAGCCAGTTCCTCAGTAAATACGGGCGTTATTAATTTTGGCACCCCCTAATAACTGTTGTAGGTCCAGTTGATTCCTACCCTCCCCATACTTGACCCAAACACAAACTGTTGAATATTGACTTACCTAATAAAAAATCCTAAAGGTCTGTCTGAGCCGTGCTTCAAAAGCTTCACCCTTCTACACGTCTCCGGAACTATGTCCACGTCTATGATTGCTGATACCTGAAATATAAAACGCAACGAATAAACAACAAATAATGCATAGTTTTATACGAATACATAAGTAGTGTTGAATGTTGATATTTCGTGGTGAAATCATTATACTGTGCACTAACGTATTTCATTAGTTATGATAATCTTGACAGTTACAGAAGAAGGCGAAAGGGAAAGTGTTGCCAACCTGAAATTAGCAGTATAGATAAAAAGAAATATATTTTTTATTTTTAAGCATAACAAGGCAGGTATCTGACCACAATCGCACCTGGTGTTAAATCACCCTGTAAGTGTTTATTCACTCACTCTCGCCTTGAAAAGGCCCGCATTATAGTGTTCAGGAAAGAAAGCAGCAGGCGGCGAATTCCAGTCCCTAGCTGTTCGCATTATGAAAGAGTCATCGAAACGCTTAGTGCGAGCTGGTGGAGGAATGTTTACAATGTAGGGACTAGGGATGTTACACTGTGGTCCTTGTCTCACATTAATTTCTCTTTATCATGTTTGCCATTTGCATTGGCATGCCTTCGACATAGGGGGCAGCGAGAATGGGGTGAATGCTTACTCCATGCAGGATCCTAGCATGCTGACATCTCGCCGAATTAATAACTAGAAACAACAATAGTAGGTACTTACCATCTTGAAGGTTGGAAATGGCCAGCCCCTTGTCTCAGGATCGACGAGATGATATCCCGTCGCATCGTCCGCCCCTCCCCCCCTCAAAAGTAACCCTAGATACGCCAATGCTTACCATCCTGAAGTCGTGCGGGTTGGATATGGCCAGCCCCTTGTCTCAGGATCGACGAGATGAAGTCCCGCCGCATCGTTATTGAGTTCCTCACTGTGCAGGTGCCGCTAGCAGCAAGGTCTTACCATCCTGAGGTGGTGCGGGTTGGATATGGCCAGCCCTTTGTCTCAGGATCGATGAGATGATGTCCCGCAGCATCATCATTGAGCTCCGCACTGTTCAGGAGATGCTAGCAGCAAGATCTTACCATCCTAAGGTCGTGCGGGTTGGATATGGCCAGCCCTTTGTCTCAGGATCAACGAGATGATGTCCCGCAGCATCATCATTGAGCTCCGCACTGTTCAGGAGATGCTAGCAGCAAGATCTTACTATCCTGAANATAACCCTAGATGCGCCAATGCTTATCATCCTGAAGTCGTGCGGGTTGGATATGGCCAGCCCTTTGTCTCAAGATCGACGAGATGGTGTTCGCCGCTTTCCCCCTCTCCCCTCTGAAAAATAACCTTAGATACGCCAATGCTTACCATCCTGAAGTCGTGCGGATTGGATATGGCCAGCCCCTTATTCTTGGCGGGCGTCCCGCTCAGGATGGAAGAGATGATGTTGCGCCGCCGCATCGTGCCATAGCCATTGAGTTCCTCGAGGCTGTCGCCTGGTGAACAAAAACATTGTAGTTTGAGAAGGACCATTAGAACAAAGCCCACCATACACGGAGAGTTTGAAGCAGCTAACTATTCCCACCTCGTTCTCACCGCTGCAACTCCTGTGTAGCCAGGATATACAGCTTGAACGCCAATAAAAACCCAACCAGTGAATGTCAAGTTTGTCAAACTGAACTGTCATTGGACCCGCAATAAAATTAATCAGAAGAACATAGAAGGAGTTCGAAGTTAAGGTTAAACTTCCCTCCAGTGCAAAGCGGATCACCGATAACACTCAAAGCTTGAAGAAACTAGTATTCGACAGCTTCAAGCTGCGACTACATAGCAAACTACGGTATCCTAAGTACCCACATACACGGAACTGCTCGAGCAGTCACAACTTCTTCCGTAGTTTGCTATGCAGTCGCATCTTGAAGCTGCCGATACTATACAAGCTGCCCGTGTATGGCGGGCTTAAGGCCCGGTTTCCACCAGTTGCGTTTTCCAAACCCCAGCTAGGTAAAGAGGTTATGAAAATAACGAAATCTGATTGAATAGAATAGAAAAAAAAATCTGCTATATTAATTGGTTATTCACACACACCTCTTCACTCCGTTTTGGTGAAAGCTGGTCTATAGACTAAAAATATACATATTTCTTTTGGACAGGAGAATTATTTGCAGGAGTTCATTGAAATGAAATACTTTTATCTTCGTCAATTATCGGTAAGAAAGAAAGATTTTAATACAGTAGGAAATTGAAGCTATTTTTTATTTCAAAACAGAATCAATCGTAGTATTATAAAATATATGATTGACTTTATTATAATCAAAAGTGATCATTAGTTAGTCTATAAAATATACAATAGCTCAAACTGTTGCGTAGTCATTTCCTGTACAATTATGGCGTTTGAATGGATTGCAACAGTTAATGACGAATCCTTCGGTTTATGGGCTACAATCGGGTCTAGTTTCCAAATATGCAGCCGACAGAACTATGTGACCTACTGCGCAGTTTACTCGTTTGTAGTAAAATAAGGAAGTATTTTATTACTAGCTTTCCGCCCGCGGCTTCGTCCGCGTGGAATTTTGTCTGTCACAGAAAAACTTTATCGCGCGCGTCCCTGTTTCAAAAACCGGGATAAAAACTATCCTATGTTCTTTCCCGGGACTCAAACTATCTCTATGCCAAATTTCATCAAAATCGGTTGCGAGGTTTAAGCGGGAAAGCGTAACAGACAGACAGACAGACAGAGTTACTTTCGCATTTATAATATTAGTTGGGAGTTGGGATATGACCAATAGGTATGTTAAAATAAAAGTTATTGAATGAAATAAATAGTCTTATACTTAGACGATTTTTTTTGGGTTGATTTTCGATGACATTGGTTCAAATGAAATTATACCAGTAGTGTGCTTAGTGCGAGTTTACACCAAACGTCATCGCTAGCGATTGCGTAAAAAATGACATAAAATGTCTGACAGAATGTACAGCGTCCCCAGCAGTGGCGGATTTACCAAAAGGCTGAGTAGGCTGAAGCCTAGGGCAGATTTAGTTCTTAGTTTTTATTCCGATTTACAAAATTCGTCCTATACGGATTACAGTTCTAAATAAACCCATCACTGGTCCCTAGCGGATACTACTAAAATCTTCATAGATTTTTTGACGCACTCGCTAGTGTCGAGTCGCTGACGTTCAATGACAACTCGCACTAAGCACACAGAAATCAGAAACATTTATCTGTAAAACACGTATTTATATGATAGCTGGTATAAAGCCGTGAGCACGTAGAATTTTGTCCAATGACCCCAAGCTACCCATCCTTATCGCTCGCGCGTAATTATATTGCTGTCGCGACTGTGCGACGGGCGCCCGCAGTGAGTGTGCGAGCGCGATAGCAACATAATTACGCGCGAGCGATAAGGCTGGGTAGCTTGGGGTCATTGGACAAAATTCTACGTGCTCACGGACCAGGCTTTAGATCTTTTCATCCACGAAGACGCGCCCCCCCACCAATTTTTGGTCGAGGGAAACGCGGGGTGCAGGGAGTTCGATCCGAGCATCATTTATTGTAGTATGCGTGTGCACTCATGTATGATTTAGCGTATGTATACCGATAACACTCAAAGCGAAAGAACGGTGGGGCGCGTCTTCGTGGATGAAACAATCTATAGCAGACGTTTATATCTTCATTCAGAGACAGATCTGTCTATAATCTAGACTCGATGTTGAGCCTTGCACCCGACCTGCGACCTCACCTTGGATGCATGTGCGATTCTATTTGCACTAGTCTCGGGCCACGGCCATGGATAAGTATCAAGGTTACAATAAATACCCTTTATGGGCAGTCGACAGCTCATTAGACTATCCATATACTACCTATACCTTTTTGCGCTTAAACCACTTGAATCGATTTAATGTTTGCTATAGATAGAGTAATAGCAGAGTAAATACAAATGAGTAGGTCATCTTCATAGAAACGCACGGGCGCGGCTTGTATGTGAGCGCGCCGCATACGTATATTGGCGCGCTCACATATAAACCGCGCTCGGTGCGTTTCTATGAAGATGACCTACTTATTTATATTATTTTACTCTGGTAATAGCCTGCGTGCATAGTAGAATACGTGGTGACGGCAGAGTAGAATACGTTTGTCACCAACCCCTACTCTTCCCGCGGGTGTCGTAAGAGGCGACTTAGTTACTACCCATTAAACAGAGAACGAGCCGCAGCGCTCTCTGATAAACAATCTTTTAAACTGCGATTTCCAACCAACCTGCCAAACAGGGCCGTCTTTAACCTACTAGGGGCCCTGGGCACTTAAGGATCAAGGGCCTATATCATCTGGAGAAAGGTCTTTGAGTAGACAGGGGCCCCTTCGGTCGCAGGGCCCTGGGCACGTGCCCAAAGTGCCCAGTGGGAAAGAGGGGCCTGCTGCCAAACGTGGATATTATGGAAAAACCCTTCACTAAAGTGTAGGAGGCTAATAGTCCAGCAGTGGACTGTAAAAGGCTGTTGTCGATGATGATAGCTTGATTGTATAAACTCTAAACCAGAAAAAATTACAAAAAGTTATTATGAAAGGAGGACACACGTGTGAGAGTCTGTGGCAGACAGAAATTAGCACGGGCGAAGCCGCTTGCGAAAAGGTAGTTGCTTTTAAACTCATTCTGAGGTCTCAGCTGGCATTAAAAGCTTTCATTGACCCAAAAAAATGTAATGTCAGTTCCCATTATACTAACCTACTAGCGGACAAAATGTTACTAACTAATTACTTCTAAAAAAACCGTATGCGCCTGCACATCGTCACGGTAGAGCGATCTTTGACCAGTATACGCTCAACTGAGTTCACTGACGCTTTAGAAAATTCAACCTTATTATGATTACAATAAGGAAGTTATTGTTGTCATTGTCAATAGGTTTTCATCCCGCTTTTGTTGTATGTATGTAAAAGTTTGGTATTGTTATTATTTTAAAGGGAGGCCGTTACTTTTCAAATTAAATCAAATAAGTTTATTTGCAGAACAAAATGTCATGATAATACAGGTATAGTCTGGTCCCTGAGCACGTAGAATTTTGTCCAATGACCCCTAGCTACCCAACTTTATCGCTCGCGCGTAATTGTTGCTATCGCGCTCGCACACTCGCGACAGCAATATAATTACGAGGGCTGCACTAAAAGTATCGGGAATGGAATATTTCCACTGTTCCAGTCATATTAAAATCTATTTAATTGCAAACTCCAGGGTTTTAAAAATCAGATACCATTTATTTATTTTAAAAAAGAATCTCGGTCGTATCACAAGGTCTTGTCAAACTTGTTTAGTCGTTGAGAAAATGGAATTGACTCGAGAAAATTCAAGAGCGATGATTTATTATGACTTTTGAAGTGGTTTAACACAAAAACAGTGAGTTGACCGGATGATTTCTGCATTTGGTAATGAAGCCCTATCCAAAACCACAAATTATCGCTGGTTTCCTGAATTTCAATGTGGACGTGTCAAGCTCAGTGATGATCCCCGTCAAGGTCGTCCAAAAACTGCAGTCACCTAAGAAAACGTTGATGCTGTGCGTAAGCTGATTGAAGAAGATCGACATGTGATATACCGCGAAATTCAGGCAACTTTAGACATTGGCATGAGTCAAATACAAATAATCTTGCATGAACAATTAAGTGTAAAAAAGTTGTTTTCCCGATGGATACCGCATTCGCTCTGTGAAGAGCAAAAAGCGGCTCGCGTTACTTGGTGCGTCAGAACTCTCGGGAGATTACATGCAGGATCCTCAAATGCTGTATACAACATCGTATCAGGTGACGAATCATGGATATACGCGTACGAACCCGAAACAAAAAACCAGTCACGAGTTTGGGTGTTCGAAAATGAATTAAAGCCAACAAAAATTGTTCGTTCACGGAGTGTTGCAAAAAAAATGGTGGCCACGTTTGTCTCCAAAACCGGCCATGTTGCGACTATTCCTCTTGGGTACAGTCGCGGAATGAAAAGGTTCGTCAGTTTTCAAATTGATTCCTTCAACGAATCGCGAGCACATATTACCTTTTGAAACTATGTTACAGAATAATCTCGAGTTAGACAAAATAATCTTTAACTGTTAGTCAGTAAAGTTCAAAATTATTCCGATTAAAGTTGTTTGACATTTATCTTGTCAAGAAGATTTTTATGATTGATAAACTAAAACCTTCTTGTTGGTTCAACCTGCCATTATTATTTCTATTAAATAAAAAAAATACATTTTGTAATATTGCACTGATGGGACAGAAAAATAAGCAAAACCTTCTTCGTTAGCAAACGTCACATTTATTTAAATGTTAGCAGCACTGTTTCTTGCACTGGTATGTTGGCAGGTTTGACTCTTACAGTACCTAATGCAAGCGAAAACCGACACTAAGGTGACGAACCTTTTCATTCCGCGACTGTACCTATAATGACTTCAATTTTTTAATTAATTTATTATTGTTATTGATATGTAGATTCTAATTTTGTAAAATTTGCATGCCTACCCTGGACAAAACATGTTGGACTTGACATTTTCTATCGACCATTTTGTTACCATGTTTCTGAGCAAATAAATGATTTATTATATTATTATTATATTAATAGCATTAGTAACATTTACTGTTTATTGGTTATAGACATGCAACTTATAAGATTGAAGTTTACAGTCAACAATAACTTACAACTGAAGGATTTTGCCACTTGGGGAAGACTTTTAATTAAATTAACTTCTCCCTAATTTATAAGTGACCCCTATGGTAACACATAACAGGAGTTTTGTTTTCATAACGGTCACTTAAAAATTAGGAATTGATGGTGAAAACGGGCATAAGACGCCCAAATAATCTATACTAATATTATAAATCTGTCTGTCTGTCTAGCTTTCACGTCTAAACCACTGAACCGATTTTGATGAAATTTGGCATAGAGATACTTTGAGTCCCGGGAAAGGACATAGGATAGTTTTTATTCCGGTTTTTGAAACAGGGACGCGCGCGATAAAGTTTTTTTGTGACAGACAAAATTCCACGAGGGCGAAGTCGCGGGCGGATAGCTAGTAATATGATAAAGCGGCACTACTATCCCTATTTAAATTACATTCGTCACAGCATTCTATGTTAATCAGCTTCCTTTAATGGACGAGGCTGTGTCCGCACTTTGTTGGTGTATTGTGTATCAGGTGGGAGAAAAAAATATGCGATTGTAGTCATTATCACAACTGGATAAGGGTGATAATTGAATTCAATGTACCCAGTACATTGAATGCATTGTTGTGACGTCCACCCACTGGCGAAGGTGTGGTAATGAAGAGGCGATAAAGTTATGGAGATGTACAGACAATAGCATATTATTATCAAGCTGTACCTTATGCAGAAGTGATAAGTGCGAATTTGCAACAATAATGTATAGTTTGATAAGCTTTCGACTGTTACTTTTAATAAAACGTAAAATCGATAAAATGGCATTTAAGATGCCATCTTATTGATTTTACGTCATAAGCCCATAAATATTTCGTCTAAAATCATCGATAAGATTTTATCAGGGAACGCATCCTAGCGCGGTAAGGCGCTTTTTTTCACATAAAGGTTGCGCGTAATCCGTACGGACCTTAAGACATCTGTTGGTAGGCTTGCCAGGTCCAAGCGTCCAAGGTTGCCGGTGCTTAATTTGGCTGGACATTTAACTCTAAAAGCTGGACATAACTTTTTTTAATAGCCAACATGCCTTTGCACTGGTGCAATTAGCAATTATCATCTTCAAATCGGCATGTGTGCTCGATTTACTCTGATATTATTCTGTGGTTCTCACATGAACAGCCTAATAAAAGCCGTATAGGCCAGTCATGAGATTATTTGGCCAGACAAGTCCGTAAAAACACCTGGCAACCCTATCTGTAGGTCCAGAGTGGCAACTCACCTTTTTTCTCTGTATAATGACCCTGAGCAGCGGCCGTGCGGTAAGCAGCGCCCTCGCCAGTTTATCATCATTGTAATCCAGCCCTAGGATGTAGGTAGGATGCCATTTTATCGATTTTACGCGACAAACCCATACGTTTGTCATCTTAAATCATCGATAAAATTTTATCACAGCGCGCATTTTTTTGCGTAACATGATTAGGTCCAGAGTACACACTTACCTTTCCTCTGTATACTGACCCTGAGCAGCGGGCGTGCGGTAAGCAGCGCCCTCGCCAGGTTATCAATCCAGGCCTAGACGTAGGCAATAGGTCTAGGATGCCATTTTATCGATTTTACGCGATAAGCCCATACGTTTGTCGTCTTATATCGTCGATATTTATTTTTTACGTAACACAATTAGGTCCAGGGTGCACTCTTACCTTTCCTCTGTATAATGACCCTGAGCAGCGGCCGTGCGGTAAGCAGCGCCCTCGCCAGGTTATCATCATTGTTGATGGGCAGCAGGTCTCCATCGCGAGGGTCTGTGTACGATATCAGGAAGGCTACGTCGTGCAACCTGTGAAGCTTCTCGATGAGACCCATGAAGTCTTCATACTTCAGCTTCTCCGTTCGACTTAGCGAGAACCGACGGAATTCTGCGTCGAACTGGAAATGGAAATGTTGTTTATTAAAGTCTGGACCGTGAGCACGTAGAATTTTGTCCAATGACCCCAAGCTACCCATCCTTATCGCTCGCGCGTAATTATGTTGCTATCGCGCTCGCACACTCACTGCGGGTGCCAGTCGTACAGTCGCGACAGCAATATAATTACGCGCGAGCGATAAGGATGGGTAGCTAGGGGTCATTGGATAAAATTCTATGTGCTCACGGACCGGGCTTTAGCTGGTTAAACCTATCATCATCAGATCATTCAGTCTTTACTACAGGAACAGCTGTGTTGTTTTGCCCGAGTGGAATAGGACTTCTCACTCCTCCTGTGGGTGTCGGAAGTGGCGACTAAAGAAGAATGAAATATGTGAAAATCAAAGTGAGCGAACAGCCCTTTCAATTTTACTAAAGGCTAATGGACGATTTGGCCTACTGACCAGATGAGTTGGGTTGGGGAGGCTTGATGTTCACATATTTGATTCCCTTTTAGTCTCCTCTTACGAAGTCTACAGGAAGAGTGGGGGGTGGTCTTATATTCCACTCTGTCAGAACAACACAGCTATAGTCTGGTCCGCGAGCACGTAGAATTTTGTCCAAAGACCCCAAGCTACCCATCCTTAACGCTCGCGCGTAATTATGTTGCTGTCGCGCTCGCACACTCACTGCGGGCACTCGTCGCACAGTCGCGACAGCAATATAATTACGGATGGGTAACTTGGGGTCATTGGACAAAGTTCTACGTCCTCGCAGACCAGGCTTTAGTTTCCCATGAAGTGGCAGTAAAATGAGGCATTAGAAATATTTTTTTAGGGTAGTCTAATGGGAATATTTGGGTACTATGGTTTAAAAATATTAATAATTTGTAATTATCATGTTACAATACAAATTGGTATTTTTTTACAGATACCAAAAAATTGCAGCATGCATAAATATTATTAAAATATTATTGTGCTGTCTGTATTTTTACTCATAACAAGATTGTTCACGATGCAAACACTTTTTAAAAAAATAGATTCTCTGTAGTATTTAACAAGGAACTAGTGATTTAAACCTTTGTTTTCCTACAACTGCTATTGATTGTTTATATACCTACTTCACCCAGTCATAATGACCACAATCAATTAATTGTTAATTTTATGAGGTCAACTGCTATTGTACAGTCAGAACAAGTGGTTTGTCTCACAGAACCACATTTACACTTTTAACATGAATGATTGATTTTGTTAATATTTTTATTTAATATCTTACTTTTGCCTTGGTGTGTATGAACAGTGCTCGGCCGAGCGCTCGACTATGTGACTCGCTCACCCAACTGTCTCGACCGAGTAAAAATTTTACTGTCTCACCCGTTTACTTGGTATGTGTGATCAAGGCATTTGTAGTGAAAACTTTCAGGCACATGAAAGACTTAAATTAACTTTACAGGCATACTGAAATCTAATATTTTTCAGATTGATCAGTTTTCTGTAGATAAATACCAGTAAGGATTCCTTTATTCCTTCTGCCTCCTTGGCTGTTTTTCTCATAGTTATTTACCACACCCTGAGTGTAAATAATGTAAAATACCTAGTATGTTGGAGAGACTGTAGCACTGCCCAGGTCTCGATCGAGTCGAAGGCTTTTTCATAGTCCACAAACGCCAGACTACATAGCTCGAAGAGCTGATGGCCGCTGGGGCAGGAAAGTTCTTGAGTGGCGACCACGAGCTGGAAGACGTAGCGTGGGCAGGCCTCCCACTAGGTGGACCGACGATCTGGTGAAGGTCGCGGGAAGTACCTGGATGCAAGCGGCGCAGGACCGGTCTTTGTGGAAATCCTTGGGGGAGGCCTTTGTCCAGCAGTGGACGTCTTTCGGCTGAAACGAACGAACGAACGAACCTAGTATGTACTTATTTTAATGTACATGTTTTGCACCGTCTAGAAAATGTTACAAATAAAGACCCTCAAAAAAATTCTAAAAATTGTAATGCTAATTACTTTACAAAAATCATACCTACTTATAAACAAAATCAGCACAATATTTATATTTAGGTACCAAAACCTTCAGTTTACCTGTTCCCATTTACCTTGAAAATATCCTCTTATCTACAAAAGTTTGTGGACAATATCACATTGTTTAAATAATGTATATTTTTATTGCCTAGCATTTCTTGAGTACGAACTCTCATTTTAAAAGATTTTCAAGTATTAGGTCAAGCTTCAAAATTGAGATTTCCAGCTCGAGCGTCATCATCTTCTTCTTAAAGCTGAATTTAATATGAAAAGTTCATATTTGATTAGAAGATGAGCACACTCAAGCAAAAGAACTCAATTCAGAAACTGGGCTAGAGTCATCTGAAATAACTATTATTGAGCAATCAAAAGTAGACTTGTTGAAATGTTGGCTGGAGTTTGTTGTTAAGTTTTATGTGGTGACAATCACAGATATCTACAAGTTAATGCTTAAAGCACTGGCAGAGACACAAGATCATTATAAACTTAATGAGTCCTTTTTCCTTATTAAATGTTTTCGAGGCCAGTGCTGGAACATCGGTCAGCTAGTGACCAAACCTGATAGTCAGTTTAGTGCAATGATTAAAGCTTATGGACCTGCCAAGTTTTCAATTAAAAACATACTTGTTTCATAAGCAAAAAGAAACTTTGTATCAAGTTCTTACTTAGAGTTGACCAAATTAAAAATATTCGCAGTATTTTTTTTTCTAGATCATACATTTTTCATTCAAGACATTCCACTAATTAATAAAGACACTAATGTTATACGTTTCTGTGAATTACTGTAAGCTATGTGTAATATCTTCATTGTTTTCTAAATTCGGCATTGTCTCGCTAAGAATTTCTTTACTCACTGACCATTACCATAAACAGGTAAATGTTATTAACACTAAGATTATAAACTAGGCTAACAAGCTTGCGTGTCTCCGGTAATAATGTAAGGAAATTAGAAATTAGTGGACTTACCTTACTTTTGACTTCAACACTTTGACTATCAATTCGAGCCGCTATCTTATTCTTCGACATCTCGAAAGCATTTATTCTATAAACACTTACACTAGAAAACTACCTGTAAAATATTTAGGCACTTATTTCCAACACAGCATTGTAAATTATCTAAAAATATTAAATTAAAAACGATTACAGATTTATGAACGTTCAACTCGCGTCGTAATTTTTGAACAGTTGGTTTTCTATGACGACATTTTTCACGCATTAGTAATCGATGACCAATGAATGGAGGTGATTCCTCATTATAGCCGGCGCTGATTGGTTAATGTTTTGTTGCGATGAGAACGTATTATCTGCGTTCCTTTCTATGCATATGATAATCAGAAAGAGAAACTAAATAATATTAATCAAAATGGATCTTTTAATTTTTAATTATTACTATGTAGCTATTCCCAAATTAGTATTTTTGAATAAAGTTGTTTAGAAACAAAGCTTCTGTCGTTATTTAGAAATAATTGATGTGAAACATGATTTCGGACTACGATCGCCAGTCAGATGTTTTCTGTCAAATACCTGTCAAAAGTGTCAAAATCAGTCAACAAAACAAAAAACAGGATTCCCATCCAATACCCCAAAACCATATAAAATCAATAAAATTAATGTAAAAAGGACATTGTTCAGACACAGATATGACTAAATTAGTAAACAAAGATGCCGCGAGGTTAAATCCATGCTTAAAGGTAGAAAAAATCGTAAAAATGTACGCCTAAAGAAATGGTCGCAGTCGTTTTCTAATAACCAAATTTATAATTATATAATTCATTTCAGGAGCAAGAGCAGTCGTATCAGTGCCTGAACAAAAATGGATTTGATCAAGCTAAATGCGAGGTCTACTTCGATAACTACAATATCTGCAAAAAGTTCTGGGTAAGAAGCAACATAAAAACTGTATGTACGATCTGACCTAACCTAGCCGTGAATCCGGTTGCTTGCATTCTATTAAATTCTAGGTTTTAAATAGCTTTTGTTTATAACTCAAACATTGGCATAAATACTACATAACTAAAATTACTAAATTTTAGGTTATTTTTAACATGGTTTCAATTCCTGCCTTTAGGCAGTTCGATTTTTTCTAGTTATTTATAATTTTCAAAATAATTTGCCATAAAGATTACTATAGTTTCACAGATTTTTAAGAAAATTATCTCTGTGCCTAGACATTGGCAGTAAAATAACTTTCTTTTGTTTTACTTTCAGGGCAAAGTGTACCAAGACAGAAAATCCAAAGGATTACTACCATACATACCCGACGTAGATGATAGAGAGAGAATCAAAGAAGAGTACAAGAAATCTGTAAGATTTACTTAATTGAATTCGAGACAAGATACATTTGTATACCTACTTTGGAACATGTAAATAAAGACCGATTTAATATTGAATAAAAATACTATTCAATGTTTAATCTCTACCAAGCCAACTAAGAAATATTTTATTATTATAGTCAGTTTAAACTTTGGGGGCATTTGCAATAGTTTTAAGTATTTTTAACTGAATACACTAATTTATACAGAATTTTGGTTTTAATTTATGACCCATCAATCTGTATTTCTGCAATTCATCATTTTTGGACCACTGAACTTCTTAAGGAAAAAATACAACTATCTGAATTATATGGAAATCAGTCTCAGAGATTTCAGGTTTTTATGCAAACACACTAAACTCTGTTACCACACTAGTACTATTCATCGATGAACTTGAATCAACAATTTCCATATCACCTAGTAACAATAAGGCGTATACATAACGTATGGACGACGCCGCGATCTGCCAGTCTGCTTGTGACCACGGCTGCAGCATCGCAGCCAAAACGTCAAGCCATGAGTACATAATGTAACTCATTAATAAACCTCGCGTTAAGACCCGTGTCTATTTTAACAATAAGGCGTATATTTGTGGTTAATCATACCTACACACACAGAAGTCGAAATAAAACCAAATTATTATTATGCATTATTTTATTTCTCATGTAATCAATACATTTACTGTGAAAGCGATGACTGGTGTCATTGTGTAAAAGCCGATCCTAGCTACTAATTTAGACCTATACTATCACATGAAGGCAAATTCGGGAAGAACATGTTCCTGCTTTATATTAGGGTTCCTTCTATTTTCTACAGACTATGCATCAGCTGTGAATATTATAAGAAGCCCAGGATTCCAGAAAGTTGGTCATCATTAATGCTTTTTGTTTGATTCATACTTACAGGGACACCCTGTATAACTCACGTAATCTCACACCTTCAACAAAACATTTTTTATGTATTGGATCTGTTTTTCGTAAATTCTGTAAAATTCAATAGGTTTTGGAGTGATGCGTAGTCTGCAGTGAGTAGAGATGGGTAAGTGCTAATAATCCGATTAATAGCAATTGGCTAGTAACGGATTAAAAGCAGTTATTAGCCATTAATAGCCAATAATAGCCGATTTCAGATGGTAACCCTGCTATTAATGTTATACTAATGATTAAACATATCCCTTCATAGTTTACAAATTTAGCACTTGAAATTTGGGAGGGACGTAGCTTAGGTACCGTAGAGGTGCATTAAGAAAGGAATACCCGAAATTCCCACGGGCACGGGAATTAGCGGGAAAATCCTTTTGTATGAAAAANTTTTAAAGGTGGGAGAAAAAACGTAAGAAACTATTAATAGCAGGGTTACTAGCCAATGGATGGCTAATAATGGCTATTAATAGATAATAATCAGTTATTATCCAAACTAGCTGGCTACAAACCCATCTCTAGCAGTGAGTCTTATTTCGACATTATCTTCACTATCTCACTCACTCATACCAGGTTACCAGGTCGAGTGAAAGAGACGGTTTTTAACAGTGGGCTTAAGGAACCATTTGAGTAACAATTTAACACTTCAACTGCGATTTTGTATTAAACATAACTGTTAAACAGTTCGGTAGGACTTGAACTTATTCATTGGTACGATCTAACAATACTGATGTCATGGACCTATAAAAAAAGGCGGACGGAACTCGCGCTACAACAAAACTGTGACGCAAAATTTTGGCGTTTGTCTATTGTGTGAGTGAATTTAGGGATGCCATGTTAGCCAAAACATTTTACCCATTTATTTTAAGAAAAACATAGATCGGCAGATGTTACTTGGAAATGTAGACAGAATTATTCCGTGCCATTTTAAAAGGATGAAAGGTGTATGCGTTGAGGTAGGCGCGAAATTTTCAATGTTCAAATTTTCTTACATTGTTTGCAAGTCAGTGTGTCAGGGTATGTACATAATGTTGATCAAAAATAATTCACGCAGTTACAAATTACGAATCTTGTGTAAATTATAATCATAATCTTATGCATCATCAATATATTATTATTATCTCTGATAGATTTTTTTTAACATACAACCTGACACTGACTTGCAATCAATGTAAGAAAATTTGAATTTCGCAGTTCCACATTTTTGGGAAGGATCAAATTTGCCTATGAAAATATATCCCATTAAAACACAATAATTATGATAAATTATTTTATTTCCATAGTATGCGTAATACATAACTAAAAAGTCCTAAAATCATTATTAATTTCCCATATTTCGGGTAATTTTCCCACGTAAATAACTGAGAACACTGGTCTTTGACGTATTATTTTTTCGAGTGAATGACGTTTGATTTCAATTAATTTCAATATTTTAATGTCGGGAAATAAGTGATTGGATTATTATTTTACCTGTGAAATGTGATTCCTTAATTTTTGTTTGTTCGAACAGAACGGTTTTTACACAATTTCATCACACAAGACATGTCGTATTCGTGTTGTTTTTTCGCTGCTTAAATGTGTCAACTGTGTGAAGTTTGCTCTCGAAGTGGTGTAACAGGGTGTGAATGTGTGCGTGCCGGCCTGTACGTACAGGCAAGCTGGTGTATCCTAATGTCACAGTATTTTGTTGATGAGACTCCGTCCGACTTTTTTTATAGGTCCATGACTGATGTCATAAAGCTTGGAAACGATGCTTGAATTTGAGCCTCCTACAGTCAGCGTCAAATAGTTCCTGACAACAAATTAGCCAAAAAGTTCGCAACGTCTTTGTTACATAGGAGTCCCCTCGATCGGGCCCACTTTGGTCCAACACCGCGGTGGGCAACCCTTTAGTTGGGTTCGCCACTGATCGGGCGCCTTATGCGCTCGATACGGCCCGATCGCGAACGTCCGGTCTGTCTGCGACCGACGCGGACGAGCCTGGGCTTCGCTTCGCGAAGCCTACACTCGGCCTCGTCGGCACGCGCACCGACGATCGCCAAACGGCTAGACTACCTTCTGTACTCGCCACTCTGCCCGGTGAAGCTGGAAAAACTCCTCAAGCTACCAGCGCGCGTCCATTCAAAAAAAAAGTTACATAGGAATAAGGTTGTGTTGTCAACTTTTGGCCACTTTGGACGTCACGAACTATTTGACGCTGACTGTACTAAGGATGGCACGTCAAGCTAAATACTGTGGCATCTTAAACCATTATAATAAGTGCTATTTTTTAACAAAAAAATATAGTTTGATTTGCCACCCATTGTAGTACAAATGTGTAATAGTCCATCGCAATTAAAGCGTTAAAATCAACACTAACCATGATATCGTTTAGAAATTCAGAAAAATAGTAATACACATTATAGCATTTCCAAAACTATGTCTAGGTATATTATATTGTTATTGAGTCGATTTGTTGACATTACTCTCGTATATTTGTCCTTTTCGTTATGATATGGTTGAGAAAAGGACAGAAATATTTCACTAAGATACAATAAGGAATATTTTAGATAAAGCTAGGCGTTCTTAGCACACTCCCAGTTTAGTGTCCCACATAATGGGATAATGGGACATCTTTAATTCGTACATAGGTACATCGGCATTTTAATTTAAATACTGTGACATCTTTTGCAATCGTATTAAGTGCTATTTTTGAAACGAAAGTGTAGTTTGAAGTTAATAGGTACCAAAAAAATCGGTATGCACCCACCGGTTTTTTGACGTATTACAGTATCGGTCCCAATATTGGGACTAATTTGAGTTCTCGTCAATCAAGCTGCTAGTCATTTTGTGTAGCGATCGTAGTTATTAGAAAAGTGTAGAGAATTGTGTCATAAAATCGACATGCGCTAGAAAGCTTCACTAACAAACGAGGCACTTGATTTTGTATGAATTAAGGATTTGCCACACTGGATGCGATCTGCGGGCAGCGGTCTGGTCAAAGTGAACGCAGCCCGCATCATTTTATGAACAACATTTTCATCAGCGGTTTGCGTTCTTTACTCGTGCCCGCACGGTCAGATCGCATCAATACAAAATATATAGACGTACTTCTTTACTCATGCGAACGTACGGCGCGTATACAGGGTGTTAGGTAAATGGGTATAAATGAGCCGACACTAGCCCATGTTAACATATGCATATAAATGGTATGGTGATTGAGAAGTCAGAAAATGGATATCATTATTTTAATTTTCATACAAATCTGATTTTATAAATTTTATTTTGTATGAACATTTAAAAAATGACTTGACCGCTGCCTGCAGAACGTATCCAGCATGTGGCAAAGCCTTTATGATATTACTTAACCCTTTAACGCACACCCTAACTTTTTTTTGAATTCGCTATATTTCTAAGTGGATATATATTCTATAGCATTATTTATAACAACATATATTAATAAAATTATCAGAAACTAGATATTTTACGAGAAAATACAAAAAAACTAATGGTCAGTATACTGACCACTGACCGTTCTGCATCGCTAAAATCACCAATATTCATGTGAAAACACTGGCCAGTAAACTGGACACTTATAAAAAAAACCGGTTATTTTTATGTAAATTACATATTAAACTGAATAAAATAATTGCGTATTTAGTTATCAATCTTTAATTAGGCTAAAAACATAATATTCAACAAAGTATCAAATAAAATGATTGTATTTCTTCTTTTGAGCCAAAAATAACATGAAAAAAGCAAAATTGAAAGTTTTGTCAACTAAAGTAAACATTATATAATAATTTAGAGACAATATAATGTTATAAAATAAAAAAAACGTGAATGAAAACGCAATAAACCCAGGATTATCTTATACATTATCCACAAATATACATAATTTTGTATGAAAAAATACCTAAACAGTTATAATAACGGGGTATAACTACCGAACCCGTATATTTGGGCTTATTATGTTATTGTATTATAAAAATTAATAATATACTCAGTATAAAACGATATAATTTGTGTGTAAAAATCAAAACATATAAATATGAGACCACCTCAAATTCACATGTGTAATTTCTATACAAGGCTTTTTCAACACACTAGTCTGTTTTTAATTGCAAAAATAACATGTTTATTTTACGGTTTTCGACTATATTTTCACGTGATGATAAAGTATATACTATAACATTATTATTTTACTCATCTTCTTTACGAAGAAATGTTTTTACATTGAACTACACTCGGAAATATGTATCGTGTGCTTGCAATGGCAGCAAATACTAGTACGGGTGTGCACAGTGGCCAGTTGACAGGCCACCTTAAAAAAGAGCGCGAATTTTTGATTGCGTGCGACGTCCTTGAGCGCTGGCTCGTTTCTAGGCCAGCGTGCTTTATTGGCTATCGTTTATGATCATAAGGTTCGACATTGTTACAAAAATCATTGAATTATCGGCCGTAAAGTGACTGTCCAGTTTATTGGCCACTTTGTATGGGCCGTCCTATAAAGGGTTAAACAGTTACACTACAAAATACATTATACAATATTTAGGCCTCTCTTCGATCAGGAAATACCTTGAGATTCGACAAGTTGATTGTAAACGAGTTCCAATGATTATGCCGAATGTTAATAAATATTTACAATTTATGTTACTTAAATGTTAATTTTGATAAAATTAATTACAGTTTCTTAATAGTTGGTACACATGGAATGAAAACATTGACAAATGCACACAAAACACTTTTTTTTTACTAAATTAACCATTTATTTTGTTAAATATATTATGTACCTATAATAATAATATGTGCCGACTATTAGGAAACTGTATCGACTTATAAAATATTAAATGCCAATATTGATTGAAGACCCATTATAAAATAATAAATACGGTATTCCATGATTTACTTTTACATACTTTGCATTTTTGCTTATCTTATGCATATAATGAAAATAAATAACAGTTAAATTCTTTGCTAATTCCATATAAATATCTGAAGTTCGAATTAGCTATTTTAACTAAGAAATTAAACAATTAAAAGACAAGATAGAGTGATAGCTTACAAAACTTTTTTGTGCATAACAAGGCAGGTATTTGACCGCAATCGCACCTGATGTTAAGTGGGATGCGGTCTAGGATGGTACATATCTGCCCTGTAAGTGCCTATTCACTCTCGCCTTGAAAAGGCCCGGATTATAGTTTTCGGGAAAGACAGCAGCAGGCAACGAATTCCAGTCCCTAGCTGTTCGCATTATAAAAGAGTCATCGAAACGCTTAGTGCGAGCTGGTGGAATGTCAACAATATAGGGATGGTACGCTAACCTGCGTCTGGTTCCCCGATGATGGAAGGGGGCTGGTGGAATCCAGTCCCTAGCTGTTCCTGTCTTATTCTCATGTCAATTTAACTTACAATTTCGTGCAGAGTGTAAAAGAAAAGGTAATTCCTAATTAATATTAGTTTTTTCAAACATGAAAATAAAATCCTGTCGTAATTGATAAAAATGTTGGCATAACTTTTAATGTTAGTTTTTTCAAATATGAAAATAAAATGTAGTTCCAGATGAAAAAGTTGGCATAACATTACACTTAAATAATCTCAATAAATCTCACAGTAAACATACTGGAAAGTTAATCTAGACTAAGCCGGTGGTAGTTGTTATAATATTAGTCTGAATACAGGCCAAAAGACAATCTAGTCAATTTTCTAGCTACATGTTTTTATTTTTGGTCAGTTTTGGTCTAGTTCGTGACACTCAAAGTAGCCAAAACCAAAAAGTACGCAGAATAAGGTTGTGTTGTCTTTTTAGCTAGTTAGCCACTTGACGCTGACTGTACCTGTACCAAGTAAATATTTTTTCTCTCCTTCTTTACAGAAAATGACACAGATTATGCTTATAACCTTTGTACTTTATTTTAATAAATTAACAAGTAATACTTAAGCTTATTAAAATAACTGTTAAAACTAGAAATAATTATACTTATAATAATACCATTATCTAAAATTATCGAGTGCACAAAAATACAACATGATTATGAACAACGTAAAATATAATGTAAGTACATTATGTAAATTAATATGTACTAAAATGGTGGTGGTACAGTCAGCTTCAAATAGTTCGTGACACAAAAATATCTATAAGTTCGCAACACGTCTTTGTTACAATTATACAGGGTGTTAGGTAAATGGGTATATGAGCCGACACTAGCCCATGTTAACATGGGCATATAAATGGTATGGTGAAGTCAGAAATTTGATATCATTATTTTAATTTTATACAAATCTGATTTTATAAATTTTATTTTGTATAATAAACATTTAAAAAAATAAAATGATGATATCAAATTTCTGACTTCACCATACCATTTATATGCATATATTAACATGGGCTAGTGTCGGCTCATATACCCATTTACCTAACACCCTGTAGATAGTGCCATCTACGAAGTCGCGTCCCACCATTCTTCCGCGAATGTTTAAGTGTTATCGGTACACGCTAAATTATCCATGAGTGCACACGCACACTACAATAATGCCGCTCGGATTGCTCGGATCAAACTCCCCGCACCCCGCGCGACCGAGACCAAAATTGGTGGACGTGTCTTCGTGGATGAAAAGATCTATAGATTATGGATGTGTTGTCAATTTTTTGGTCACTTTGGGTGTCATGAATTATTTGACCATGACTACAGCCGTCAGAACTATAGACGTTGCACCTTATGCAAGTTTCAATAGGTGCTATTTTGCTATAAATATTATTAGGATGCGCTGGCGCCGTACAAAATAAAATACAAATACGTGTACTTCTAATATGTTTTAAAAGAGATCTAGAAATAAACAACGCTGTAAAACAAACAAATAAATAATTATTTGTACTGTTTGATTCTACATATAAACATATTCAGTGTTCAGTATTTTATTCTTATAATAATAAAAAAGTCTTCTTAAAACACTGAAAAAGAGTCAGAGAACATAAATAAAATCACCCTTACAAACAATAGATATAGGGTGCAATATTGATTACAACACAATCTATGACGACTATAATGTGTCGCCATATTTAAAAAGTTTCAAATCGTATTCTGACAGATGTCAAAATGCTTTTCTTTAACCGATAAAAAGTGAGAATATTAAACCCTACTGCCACGGTAATCTACTGCTTTGGGTTAAGGCTGTGGTTAAGGGTCAGAAAAGTATTTTATTTAACTTGATTGGCCTGTCTAGAGGTTAAAGCCTTTTTAGATTTTGAAGCTTATAATAAAGGCATACGGTTTAAAATCGATTAGCGGTGATAGGTCAATTTAATAGCAATCGTACGACTCCATCTTAGAGAAATCAAAATATTTAAAAGAACCATTAATTTCTCGAATTATTATCAAATTGACCGGGAATTAGTTAAAAAAAAAACATAATTTTAAAGATTAACTAGTGGTTTATGAACATTTTAACAAAATACACAGCGATTCCTGTAATATTAGATAATAGAAGTAATTAATTAAGAAAGAAATTATGTTTTTCGTTTCAGCCAAATGATGTTGTAATGCTATGTTTTTATTACGGATCAATTGTTAAATATTCGAGAAACTATTGGCATTAATTAAAAACTTATACCTAATGGAAATAATCAACTACAATAATAAGTTAAAACAATTGACAATGCGCGCTATAACATCTGAGGTCAAAGAATGTACACAAAAAAGAGTAACAAAATGAAAAAAAAAAATACTGACATGAAAATGTATTTTTTTTAAATAAAAACTATATTACAATATCCAGAAAAAAAAAACATTAAAAAAATATGGCGTCACATTTACAACAAAATTCTTTTTAAAGTTCGCGACTGTAGATTATAATTTGGTGACCTAGTTTCGCGCGCTTTTTAATTTATAATCTATGCTTCAAAAATGATCAATTTTGTAAATTCAATATTTTTTTTTATTCTGCATTTTTATTGGATATTGTAATACATAATTTTAAGCACGAATTAACTATGCTTCTATAGACAAACAACAGGTATAATATATGTATATTTCTATTGACAAATGGAAAGCTATAAAAAATAAGGGCGTTTTTCAGCATTCTTTTTACTGTTACTCTTTTGTTCACTTGTACAATCTTTATAACGTAACATTTATATTATATATTTTCGAGTAGGCGTGTAGATATGATCGGCAGTAAGTCAAGCTTCCCCAAATTAAGGCTCTAATGGATTTTGAATTTTATTCCCTTCAGTGTAGAGTTCAAAATCAATTAAGGAAGTCATTTTGAGGTAGTTTGACCTCTTTTCGACCATACCCTTCATTCATTTATACTTACAAAGTCACTATCTAATTATTTGGAATTTTGCACTGGGCATTACGTAATCAACATGTTATATTCAGTTTTAAAAGCCTTACAGAATTGTCAAGTTCTACATGCAATGTAAAGCTTTAAGTGCACTAGGCTGTGTGGTGTGGTTTAACCTGAACGTAACTATTGCATTGCTTTTTTCCCAAATTTTAAGTTTTTCGAAGGAAATTAGTTTCACAGCAGCACAATAATGCCAAGTCATGTATAATTTATACGATTTTTTTCTAGTGTTTTTTGATTGTTTAGAGACTATTCATTGAGCTATGTTTTGTATATTTAACAGTGTACATAATATGTACCGTTTGTACCAAAATAAATAATATCCGAGTGGCTCTTGGGAGCAAAAAACAACCCAACTTTTTTCTAACGCATTTTTCTGTACCTAAATTGCACTACGTACACTTATTTTTATAAAAAACAGTAATAAAATAAAAAAAAGTTCTGAAAGAGTATTTTTACACTGGATTGCACACTGGTGTTACTGGCGCTCCATCAAAAAGACCCAATATCCTTTTTAAAAAAAGAAATTAACAACTTATTCTTAAACGCGACTGACATTCCAAATTCAAACTTATCAGTCGACTCGTACGCACTGTAAAGACTTAAAACTTCAATGAATAGCCTCTGTGTGTTTGTATGTACGCGTGAATGGATATGTCGCCTGTGTTACGCTAGCACGCATCGTCGGCTAAGAGTCAATCTGTCCGCTGCTTTATGTGGAAACAGCTTATCCTGAAGTGGTCGCACATTTGACGTACCTGTGAAACGAAAAAAAAAAATTAAACGTGAAAAAAAAATGTAATAAAATATTTTAAAAAATCTGAGACAAGAAAAAATCTAAAATACCAAAACTTATTTCATTCAAAAAATATTAATTTGTTTAAAAAAATGTCTAATCTGTCTCTTTATCAACATTAACTGTATAAACTAGCATTTTTAATTAATTTAGTTTTAAGCTACATTTAATTAAAATAAGGCAGTGTTTCTAAAAAAAACCTAATTATTCCAATATCATTATTATGTATCATGAGATCGTTTTTAGTAATGCATTTTTTTTTTTCAAAATTCTTGACAATTTTGCTTATTAATAAAATACTTTCTATCCTTCCTACTACAAAAAATACTAGTAAAGAAAGTATAAAAAATACAAAAAGTTATCATTGACCCCGACGTGATTTGAACACGCAACCTTCTGATCTGGAGTCAGACGCGCTACCGTTGCGCCACGGAGTCGTTGCGTTGACCGGCCAATTTAAGACTCGCTTTACGAGGCGCACAGCACATTAAGATTACACATTTTTGTTGCAAAATCTATTTCAACTCACAATGTTTAGCTTGATGTGAATTCGCCAGTAAGAACATTACTTCGAGTGTATTATAATATTTATTGTATTGTTACTTTATGAAATTCTCTTGCATGGTTATTTACACATAGGTAGTTTCTTTTCATTCCCAACGATGAAATACTATTTCGGGAAATATGAAATTAATGTGGTAGGTAGTAGGTACATAATATGAAAAACAATAAATGAACCGGTTATTTAAAAAAATATCTCATATTTTATAAATTAACTAAAAACATTTTTTTAATCCCACAGTCATCGACCTGACGGCGTCGCTATAAATTTTATTCGCTATAAATTGTTTTTCTTTTTTTTCTTTCTCTAAAATTATGGATGGACTAAACTAAGCATCTTTGCTAAGCTGCTAAAGTGCTATGCTGGGGCAAAAAGGTTCTCGAGTGGCGACCACGGGCCGGAAGACGTAGTGTCCCCACTAGTTGGACTGACGATCTGGTGAAGGTCGCGGCAAGAACCTGAATGCGAGTAGTGCAGGACCGGTCGTTTTGGAAATCCTTGGGGGAGACCTTTGTTCAGCAGTGGACGTCATTTGGCTGAAACGAACGATTAATTTATCCTTTTTTTTAGGTTCGATTCGACCAAACTTTTATCCGAGAATAACTCTGGTTTAACTGGCACATTGAAAGTTTCAGTATGCAAAATATGTCAAAACTGACGATTTATTCTGAGACTAGCGGCCGCCCGCGACTTCGTACGCGTGGATCCCGTTTTACCCCCTTCATCTATCTTACGCGGTTTAGATTTTTTCATACAAAAGTTTTTTCCCGCTAACTCCCGTTCCCGTGGGAATTTTGAAATATCCCGTTGTAACTAAGTTTTAAGTTTACTAAGGTACCTGCATGCCAAATTTCAAGCGTCTAACTTAAGCGGTTTAGATTTTTCATACAAAAGGATTTTCCCGCTAATTCCCGTTCGCGTGGGAATTTCGGGAATTCCTTTCTTAGTGCACCTCTACGATACCTAAGCTACGTCCCTTCCAAATTTCAAGTGCCTACGTTTAGCCGTTTAGGCTGTGCGTTGATATGTCACTAAGTAAGTCAGTTTCTCCTTTTATAAATTATTTAGATTAATTTACTCTTGTTTGGTCGAATCCACCCTTAAGTAGGGCTGTACTTACCACGCAAGCGCCGTAGTGCACATGAGCGACCACTGCTAGCGCAGTGACCGCGTAGAAGGCGGTCATCTCGTGCTGCGGCGCCATCGCCGACGCCGCTGCTGCCAGCAGGAGCGGCCATAGCAGCCAGTTGACGAACTCGCAGCGTTGGTTGCTCATCTGGCTGACTATCAGCCGGCACTGGGGCAGAAATTTAAAATTCCTATATATAGGTACACATTAATCAGAGTAATAAATTAACTTTATGAATGAACAGAGCGTATTGAGTAGCGTCCTGCGTTCCCACATCATTGCCCAATACTCAACAATAGAAAACAATAGTTATACTGTTACTTGGCTGAGCCCGCCAGTTTTATTTTAGTCGCAAATACACCTTTAAAGAATTCACATGTTTTACTGTTCCAACCTTCTGACGTGCGTTTTGTGGACTTAACTTATAAAGTGGACAACAACAATAATATACACATATTATACTTAAAACGTACATTGATATAATTACGTACGAGTACATCGGGTATATTAACGTACACTATACAAGTTTATTTTGAGTAACTTATCTAAACCATTTCAGTTAGTACCTGACGTATTGGAGCGTCACGGTTTTTTAGGTATTTTTAACACTCATCTTGCTGAAGACGTCGCCATGTTATTGAGCAAAATAGGGTAAAGGCTCCCCTTTACAGACACCTTGTTGAGTAAAATAGGGTAAATGTTCCCACTTACAGCCACGTAGAGTAAAATAGGGTAAATGTTCCTACTTACAGCCACGCGGCCACGTTGAGAAAAATAGGGTACAGGCTCCCATTTACAGACTCGTAGTTGAGTAGAATAGGGTGATAGCTCCAACTTACAGCCAAGTTGAATAAAATAGGGTAAAGCCTCCTACTTACGGCCACATGGAATAAAATAGGGTAAATGATCCCACTTACGGCCGCGTAGAATAAAATAGGGTAAATGTTCCCACTTACGGCCACGTAGAATAAAATAGGGTAAATGCTCCCACTTACGGCCACGTTGCTGAACACAGTTCCGATGAGCAGGAACAACACCCTTAGATCAGTTCCGGGCAGCCGCGCCGAGCGGTGCACCCACAGGGAACAGACCGCGAACACCGTTAGGAAGGACCACAGCGGCCGCAGCGCCTCGGAAACGGAACGCATCTTGCCCGTGCGCAGTTTGTACGATCTGAAATGAAAGAAAGATACAATGGACACACACAGGTAATTACATACAGGCACAGAATAATAATAAGTACTACGTACAGAAGTTTTACTTCGCGAAGGTATTTAAAAAAATGTATGCTCAATGTCATTAACAATATGGTGTAATTTAGCCTGTCTCAAGAGTCAAGCACCATTTTGTTGACAAACGTCAGTGATCGGCACTGCGCCGAAGCTATAGGGCTGACTTCGGTAAAATGATGTGACGTGAGGTGCCAAACTGCGGAAAATGGCGGAGGAAATACATGATTTAGCATGAATTATCATGAATAATACATCAACAGCCCTTTACAGTCCACTGCTGGACTATGAGCCTCCTCCACTATAGTGGAGGGTTTTGCCATAATCTCCACGCTTGGCAGGCGGGTTGGAGATCGCAGTTTAAAAGATTGATGTTTTTCAGAGAGCGCTGCTGCCCATTCTCTGTTTGATGTGTAGTCCCTAAGTCGCCTCTTACGACACCCGCGGGAAGAGTAGGGGTATAATATTAACTACTTATTTACCTCTCAGTGTCTTGAGGCAACTTAAAAAAGTACATTCTGTGTTTTTAATATTATTTAGGCAGTTAAATACTGCACAGTATTTAACACCATTTTCTTTATTTTCTTCCATCATACACAAGAATACGCGTGCGTGAGTCAATGTTCGCTCGTAAGTGAGGCCTTGTCGAATAGTATCCTGTAGGTGGGCCATCGTGCGTGTTTTGTTTTCGATGTAAACTCGCGGAGATGAACAGGCCTGATACAGGGTGGAAACGATAAGTGATCTCACTCGATTATTTCTAAACTACATAAGTTAAGGAAAAACTGGTTACTGATCCTAAAACTGCTTCACGAGCTCTTTCTAACGGTCTATTCTTTCTTTCTATTCTATCAGTAATAGGTTACAGAATCACTGGATCTATCCGAAAATTCAATGTTTTCAGTAAGTAAAATAGAGAAACACGGGTCTCAACGCGACATTTTTTTATATGAGTTGCAACGGGGCGTCTTAGCTAGCTCAGTCTGACACCCCGCTGTTTAGTACTAAGTCCCAGTTCGCTTTCTGCGATGAGGGATGTGTACCTATCTAGGATGCCTACAGGGATATTCGACCAAGGAAACGCACAATTAATAACACAATGGCACTTTGTAATTCAGGTTCCACAATAGTTTACTTATTCTAGTTTCACTGACTCCAAATTACTATCGTTTAATAATGAGCAAGTTTACAAGTACTTTACAAGTTATATCACAATATACTAATTTATTACAACGAGAGGAATAGCGACGCGCCCGGTTCGCGTCCCGAGACTAGTTTACGTATCCGCGAGAGGGGCGGCGCCCTGTGCGAGGTTTAGCGAGTATTAGTTTGGATACTTATAACTAGGGGGGTAGGACGTGGTTCAATAGCTCGAGCCAGAGACCAAAGTCCTCTGATGAGTATGATACCACTGGGAAAGGGCGTCGGACCTACGTGGCGAGGGGGTATGAAGTTCAGGAAGGGTGGCAGCGGGATTGCTACCGCAGGTCGGGAATGAGTATCACATGCACTACTCGGTAAGGACGAGAACCGAAAGGCTATCAACGATAGAACGTCTCGAATCGACAATTAGATCACCTGACCGAGTTAACGAGGTATCGAATCAAGCCAGAGTCGAACAGTTAGGGTTAGTGGGAACAGTGTGGATAGCTATTCGCTAGGGACTCTGTGCAATGCAGTCGAGGGAACAATAGACGCGCGCGCGAACGTCTGACTGTTGCAATGGCTCCCGAGCGAATGCTAGGCGCCCGCGGTCGCCGCCGTCTCATATATTAGCTCGGTCCGTGCGGCGTGCGGCCGCGCAGCCGTAGGGTTGTCAAAATCTCTGTGCTCGGTGCTAGGGCTGTCGATGCGTCGCGGGGCGCGTCACAGAGTTACATATGTACTCTCGGCATGACTGCTATGTAAGTCTATTTAAAAGTCTATGCAAATAAATACATTTTGAATTTGACTTACTTGTATACATTGTAGACAGAGACGGGCAGGTTTGTACACACTCCCGTGGCGTAGATTGCGATCTCGAACACGTTCGCGAGCGTGTACGAGCCGAATGCGTATCGCTTGTAGAACGCCGTGCCGCGCAGGCCCGTCCATAGGAAGCATAGCGTGGACGCCTGTAGGTAAACACACCCTATTATAGAATTATATCTTCATTAAAACTCACAAAATTTCATTTAACTCATTTATTTTTGGAAATAGGCTTTTAAAAAGCACTTTTACACGTCCCAGTATTAACCCTACCACAGCTTCGGGACAATAAATGGGCCAGTGCTTAGAAGAAGTAGCGCAAGAAACTGAGTCACTATTATTGCGAATGCAATTTAGCGTAAGGACGAAGCACATATCAACCCCGAAACGGATCGTAACCGTAAACTCGAGACGGTCAGTATTATTCGTAAAGCCTGGTCCGTGAGCACGTAGAAATTTGTCCAATGACCCCAAGCTACCCATCCTTATCGCTCGCGCGTAATTATATTGCTGTCGCGACTGTGCGACGCGCGCCCGCAGTGAGTGTGCGAGCGCGACAGTAACATTATTACGCGCGAGCGATAAGGATGGGTAGCAAATCAAATCAAATCATTTATTGCATTGCATTACATGTGGTTTGATAGTTGGTGAATGGTAGGGCAGCACATCACATGCACCCTGCAAGGGCATAGCAAGCATTAAGTATACATTTTACAAAATTTTAGCTTGGGGTCATTGGACAAAATTCTACGTGCTCACGGACCAGGCTTTATAAAACTCCGTACTGCAACGCACACTTATTCGCACCGTAATGTAAACGCCTCGCCTCACTTGACAGCGCGGCTAAAGGCTAACGGTGTTGATCCCTTTCCGAGTTGATAAGTGTGCTATGACCTTTTGCCGGAAGAAGGTTTAACGGGATTCCAGGTGAAGCCCGCTTCCACCTTCGGCCTGATTATTATTTTGCATCAAGTGAGATGCATGAATGTTTAAAAAAATCCCTTTTTTGTCGTGAGCGGCTATTCTAATTCTATCAAGTCCTAGTATCACTGCGACCGCTATCGATCTATTGTGATCGCCAATGTTTTCCTTACACGGGACTGTTCCCACCTCTCGTTCCCACCACGGCAACTCCTGTGTAGCCAGGATCTACAGCTTGACCGCCACAAAAACTCAACGAATGAAGGTCAAGTTTGTCCCGGGGGAAAGTTAAACTGTCATTGGACCCGCAACGAAATTAATCAGGAGAACATAGGAGGAGTTCGAAATTAAGGTTCGACATCCCTCCATAATGGGGCCGTTCAAGTATTACGTAAGCACCATGGGGGGGTGGGGGGGTCTCTGTTTTGCTTATTTTGATGACATGGGGGGTAGGGGGGTCTAGATGATGATTACGTCATCGTTAGTTATTTACGTTTTTTCGGGGATTCCCGCAAATAATACATAATATGCGTAGGCACTCGCTTTGAGAACTGATTAGGGGAATTACCGCACAGGAAATTACCGTGCGCTATTCACTTGTCTAATAATTAACTCTCGTGCCGACATTGCCCATTGAAATTTGAGAGTCGTAGTCCGCATAAAATATTATACGCGAGGCCGGCCTCCCGCGCCATTGTTTTGTTTGGATACTAAACGTATTGTAAGCATGTTGATGCATAATTAATGCAATTATGTTTGTTATGTTCTTTTTTTCTGATTATATTTTTTTGTTCCTACTCTATGTGTATCAGTTAAACCTAATATTTTCATGAATTTTCCTATTTTAAAAATGACAATATAAAAACATTTATAATAAAATGTTTACGTAAGCATATGGGGAGGGGGTAAGTGCTTTGCTTACTTTTGATGACAAGGGGGGCGGGGGGGTAAAAAATGGTAAGAATTCTGCTTACGTAATACTTGAACGGCCATTTCCAAAGCGGATGACAGGTGACAAACAAAGGTTTAAAACCTGTGGGTCTAGACAAAGTGCAAATTATAATCGCAAACCAGTCGAAAAGTGGTCGAAAAGCCCCTTTTTTGTATGGGTTTTGACGGATTCGATTAATCGATTCGATCAAAAAGTGCGTTTTGTCTAGGGGGGCTGATGTTTTCCTTACAGTCCGAGTCCTGTATCTATTAAGTAGAGCAGTATCTTTTGGGGGGCGATATGTTTTACATCCTGTGGGCTTAGATTGTCTTACTTACCCACATACTGAAGTCATACCCCCAAGGTAGAAACAGGACACCAGTGTTGTATTTCTCCCAGTGGCTGATGTAGAAGTTCAAAAGAAGATTCCACATCACATAGTACATTCTGGAAAGACAAAAGTTATTTATATTTCACTAAAGCCTCTGACGTCTTTGAATCAGGGTCACCAGCGCCCCGATTGCGCTAAATACTTTCAACTGCAACGCGACTGGAGGACAAACGAAAGTCAGCTGTTTGCACAAATTCGTATCGCGGTGTCGCTTTGACAGCTAGTTCAAACGAAGTTGTAACGTAAACGGAATGCAACTGGGTCTTTGTGTAAAAGCTGACAGAAAGCTACTTTATCTCAAACGCTAGTCAAACGCTTCACAAAAAATTGCTGTTTTAGTGAAAAAATAAGGTGTTCGGACTTATAATGGAAAGTGCTTGAATCTCTTGTTTCGTCTTTGTTTTTGCGTGAACTTTACCACGCTACCGAATTCACCTCAGCTGGAATGAATATGGAGCGTGACTGGAATGTGGACTAGAGATGAAACGCAAATGAAATGAAGACATTACAAATTAGCGTTATCTATCGGGGACCCAGTAGGCGCCACTGTGGAGGAAGGTGACTGTCATTTTCTAGCGCCAACTGGTGATCGGTGATTTGGTGGTATTACTGTATTACATACATTGTAACTGTACGCAGAACTGACGGGCGATGGGGCAGCAAGGTTCTGGAATGGAGGCCGCGTAACGGAAAACGCAGCGTGGGACGTCCACCCACAAGGTGGACCGACGACCAGATAAAGGTAGCAGGAAGGCGCTGGATGCAGGCCGCTACCAACCGTGCGATGTAAAGATCATTGGGGGAGACCTATGTTCAGCAGTGGACGTCCTATGGCTGAAATTGTAATTGTAAAGTATCTATGACTGACCTTATAGGCGGAATGGAGAAGTCCAGACGTCCAAATATGGAGTACAGACAGGCTGGGATGAAGAATACCGAGTACGAGTCCAGTCCGTGGTCGAATAGCTCTCCCAGAGGGCCAGAGGTCTGCGTCCGTCTCGCTTGCTTGCCGTCGATGCCGTCTGTAACATAATGGCATACGGTCTATATTACAGTAACAAGTATTCAGACTGTCAAGCCTTGATCACACGTACCGAGCAAACGGGCGAGACAGTGCTCTCGGCCGAGTACTCGGTGTGTATGAACATTACGCCGAGTGCTCGGCCGAGCGCTCGAGTACCTACATATGTGACTCGCTCACCCAACTGTCTCGACCGAGTAAACATTTTACTGTCTCGCCCGTTTACTCGGTTCGTGTGATCAAGGCTTCGATGGCAAGTAATCAGACTCTCAGTGACAAGTAATCAGACTCTCAGTGGCAAGTAATCAGACTCTCAGTGACAAGTAATCAGATTTTCAGTGACAAGTAATCAGATTGTCAGTGACAAGTAATCAGATTGTCAGTGACAAGTAATCAGACTCTCAGTGGCAAGTAATCAGACTCTCAGTGACAAGTAATCAGACTTTCAGTGACAAGTAATCAGACTTTCAGTGACAAGTAATCACTCTTAGTGACAAGTAATTAGACTCTCAGTGGCAAGTAATCAGACTCTCAGTGGCAAGTAATCAGACTCTCAGTGACAAGTAATCAGAATCTCAGTTGCAAGTAATCAGACTCTCAGTGACAAGTAATCAGATTCTCAGTGACAAGTAATCAGACTGTTAGTAGCAAGTAATCAATATTCACTAATTTTTGTTTCGTGTTACCGTAGGCATTATTTTTCATTTTTTATGTCAAAGATTTGCATTACTATTTTTGACCAGAGAGGAGAATGCGGACAACTAAAGGACTCTCGGCTTTACTCCTATCAAATAAGGTCCAAACTCACCTAGCGTGTATGCCAAGAACAGAAACACGGCCAATGCGAACCACAGCGGACGCGGTATAACCTCTTCGTGTTGTAAGGGCACCGCCAGGGGCTCCACGCTTGACTCGTTGCGAGCGAGCGAGCAGGCCGCGTGGTGTGAAGTAGCTAAAGGAATCTCAACCTTAGTGCTGTCAAATAAGGTCCAGACTCACCTAGCGTATACGCCAAGAGGAATACGGTCAGCCTACGCAAACCACATCGGAGAATGAGAACAGCTAAAGGACTCTCAACCTTAGCACTGTCAAATAAGGTCCAAACTCACCCAGCGTGTATGCCGAGAACAGAAACACGGCCAATGCGAACCACAGCGGGCGCGGGTATGACCTCTTCGTGTTGTAGGGGCACCGCCAGAGGCTCTACGCTTGTCTCGTTGCGGCGAGCGAGCTGGCCGCGTAGAGTGAGGTAGCTAAAGGAATCTCAACCTTAGTGCCGTCAAATAAGGTCCAAACTCACCCAGCTTGTATGAAAATAACAGAAACACGGCCAATGCGAACCACAGCGGGCGTGGTATAACCTCTTCGTGTTGTAGGGGCGCGGCCAGAGGCTCTACGCTTGTCTCGTTGCGGGCGAGCGAGCTGGCCGCGTAGAGTGAGGTAGCTAACGGAATCTCAACCTTAGTGCTGTCAAATAAGGTCCAAACTCACCCAGCGTATACGCCAAGAGGAATACGGTCAGCCTACGCAAACCACATCGGAGAATGAGAACAGCTAAAGGACTTTCAACCTTAGTGCTGTCAAATAAGGTCCAGACTCACCCAGCGTGTACGCCAAGAACAGAAACACGGCCAATGCGAACCACAGCGGGCGCGGTATGACCTCTTCGTGTTGTAGGGGCGCGGCCAGAGGCTCCACGCTTGACTCGTTGCGAGCGAGCGAGCTGGCCGCGTAGAGTGAGGTAGCTAAAGGATTCTCGGCTTTACTGCTGTCAAATAAGGTCCAAACTCACCCAGCGTGTATGCCGAGAACAGAAACACGGCCAATGCGAACCACAGAGGGCGCGGAATGATTTCTTCGTGTTGTAAGGGCGCCGCCAGAGGCTCCACGCTTGTTTCGTTACGGGCGAGAGAGCTGGCCGCGTAGTACGAGTAATCATAGTACGAGAGCAAAAAGAAGTCCAGTACGGTTAGTAGGAAGCCAGCGAACGTGAGCACGTTTGGAGCCACCCAGCGAGGAAACAACTGCAAGAATAGAAATTACTTTATTCAGCGAGTAACATTTATGTGCATATGTTACGGTTAATGTGATAAATTGAAAATTATGAATAATCGCCGGTTATTATGAATAATTACCGACAGGCGAGGTAAAAGTGATAAATCAATCACATTTATCAGTGATTATTTAATACTAACAAATATCATAGAAGAGAATACCGGCTCGTGTACAGCGCTCATGTACAGCCTCACATTTTGAACGTTTTGATATCATATAAAATATTAGTATAATTTGGCAAAATGAGTTTGGACTCTTTCTTGCGTAACATTACTTTGCCATAATGCCTATAACACATTGTTTTGATTTAAAGTGAAAAATAGGTTAAGGTGCGGCGGGAGTGGCCCTTGGGCCATATTGGAGATCTCATATTAATCACATTTACCAAATCATGAGGTAATTATTCATAATAACCGGCGATTGTTCATAATTTTCAGATTTATCACATTTACCGTAACACATACATAATTAATTATTTTTTTGGGGCATGCTGAAAAGTGCCTGGTTTATGGTTCGGAAACGTGGCCTCTCACTATAGGCCTTATACAGAAGCTCAAAGTTGCACAGCGTGCTATGGAGAGGGCTATGCTTGGTGTTTCTTTGCGAGATCGAATCAGAAATGAGGAGATCCGTAAACGAACTAAAGTCGCTGACATAGCTCGACGGATTAGCAAGTTGAAGTGGCAATGGGCAGGGCACATATAACGCAGAAATGACGGCCGATGGGGCAGCAAGGTTCTGGAGTGGAGGCGTACCGGAAAACGCAGCGTAGGACGTCCACCCACAAGCGCGACGACATCATAAAGGTAGCAGGAAGGCGCTGGACGCATCCATGTTACGCGTGTTATTATGCGTTGTTTGTATTCCGCATTGTTTTTGTATAACAATTGCCTTATCTTACCGATATCGTACGATTCGCTTTTGCTTGTAATCTTACAAGCATTTTGTTAGATAACCCATAAATCACATGATATATGTATACAGGGTGGAAACGATAAGTGATCTCACTCGATTATTTCTAAACTATACAAGATATCGAAAAACTGATTACTGATCCTTAAAGTGCTTCACGAGCTCTTTCAAACGATATTAGTAATAGGTTACGGAATTAACTGGATCTATCCGAAAAAACAAAGTTTTCAGCCTCCATAGTAAATGTATGCAACAATGCCAGCCACATAATATTAGAAGTGTTAATTTTTTTATTTTAAATAATAAATACTTAAAATTAACTCGTAAATTGCATTCTTATTTAAAATTATTCATGAAAAACATTGGTTTTAGGCTTTACTTGCTATAATATTATCAAGATATGAGTGCCATGACTGTGATAGTACTAAATGTATGGAAGCTGGAAACATTGAATTTTCGGATAGGTTCAGTTTATTTTATAACTCAATAATGGTACCGTTGGATAGAACTCGTGAAGCACTTTCAGGATCAGTAACCAGTTTTTGGATATATTGTATAGTTTTTAATATACTGTGGTTTGACTAAATGTAAGGAGACTGGAAACATTGAATTTTCAGATAGATTCAGTTTATTTTGTAACCTATTATTGGTACCGTTAAATAGAGCTCGTGAAGCACTTTCAGGATCAGTTACCAGTTTTTGGATATCTTGTATAGTTTAGAAATAATCGAGTGAGATCACTTATCGTTTCCACCCTGTATGTATAGTCAAAATCGGCTATTTAAATGCCAATAGTAGCTTGAAGAACAGTAGGTAACTTGTATGTGAATAAGAAAATATATCTATACTTCTATACTAATATTCTAAATGCGAAAGTAACTCTGTCTGTCTGTCTGCCTTGCTTTCACGCCTAAACCACTGAACCGATTTTGATGAAATTTGGCATTGAGATAGTCTGAGTCCCGGCAAAGGACATAGAATAGTTTTTGAAACAGGGACGCGCGCGGTAGTTTTTCTGTGACAGACAAAATTCCACGCGGGCGAAGCCGCGGGCGGAAAGCTAGTAAGATTATGAATAAGAAAGTGCAAGTAGCTGGAGCAATAAGATCCTTATTTTATCTTGTTCAGGTTCGCTCATGAGCGCAGTGCACGTCGACCCATTGTGATCTTTTGTGCTTCCCTACCTTTCTCTCTCATCCGCAAAAATCCTATTCATAAGGCGAAACAAGTGCTTGAGTGAGAGGGACCTATAGTCTAGGGATGTTATGGATTTATGTAGTTTCGGTTATGGATACGGTTACGGATATAGGAATAATATTATACCGGTTTCGGTTACGATTACGGATATTTTTTTATTTTGGATATCCGAAAGTTTCTGTGCTTTAGAATGCAATTTGCAATAATTTTGTCCAACACGGTTTATTCATGGCCGCACACTTTACATCGAACAGAAAGTAATAAAAATTGATACTAGATGGCATTTTATAGATAAATCAGGTTGTTATGTCTTTTCATAGAATGCTATACAAAAAACAATTTAAACTGCCTACATCCGAAACTTTTGAATCGCTTACAGTTACGGTTTCGGATATCCGAAAGTTTCGGTTAAGGTTACGGATATCCATAACATCCATAACATCCCTGCTATAGTCTTCTGGTGCCGGATAGGCCGACCCCAGGAGACCCATCCTGGTTCATGGAGTTCATAGACCCGTCCTACTACATAGCTTCATGGACTCTGCGTGTTCTCCACATGCTGTCAACAGCTGGAATGTAGATATGGCATGTGATTCGCGTTCTTGCCTCTATTTCCAACTAAAAAATAACAAAACCTCGACGATTTTTTTACTGTCCTACTTCATATATTTGGCTACATGTCCATCAAATTGATAACTCTATCTTTATCTATTTATCGTTGAAGTGGGTCGTGTGACACAGATTTAGAGTCAATAATTATTTAATTAGGCATGATAATGGTGATAATAGCAATTATTAAATTAATTTGTTATTTATAATCAATAAATGATAACTTTTGACATGGTAAAAAACCTTTTATCACTTTAACATTAACTTTAACACTCATGGACAGTAACCCAGACACAATAGAAGTTTAATTGTTATGAACATTATAGCAGTTAACTGTCCAGGAAAGTGTTAATAAAAAAATTGGTTTAGTCTTAGGGCTATATTTCACCGGGACACCATGGCGGCTACCAACAAAATGTATGCAGCTTTGCACAACCAAACGGACACCAGGTGAGTAACTCTCTATAGAGCTGTATACATTTTGTTGGTAGCCGGCGACTGGTTGCGCCGCCATGGTGTCCCGGTGAAATATAGCCCTTATTGGTTTAAAGTAAAATATTGACTACTAGCGGCCGCCCGCGACTTCGTACGCGTAGACCTCGTTTTACCCCCGTCAGATATCTTGTTGATAGATGGCGTTTCACGGCTTCCCCCGTATGAATATTTACGAACGTCAAAAACAGTATTTTGTCCAGCGCTGTAGATTTTAACCAATGACGATAGATGGCGCTTTTAGACACGTCTTATTATATTGAAATTTCTTTGTCACATTTTGTCATAAATTATAGCCTATATGTTCCGTTCGTTCGTTCAAAATCCGTTCAGTAGTTTTTGCGTGAAAGAGAAACAAACATCCAGACATCCAAACTTTCGCATTTATAATATTAGTAGGATTTTACCTTTTAGACAGCTAATTAGTGAGGAGGTTTTAGAAATAACAGACTTAATTTCACACTTCTATTGTGTCTACACATGTGTATTTGATTAATAACTAGATAGTTATTTCATAGTAAACTTACCTTGACAACTCTATCCCAGAAAGGGTGCATGACATACACACTAAGAGGGCTTGTGTCGATCGCCATGTACTGTAAAACAAATTCAAATACATATTTTATTTAGTCTTTGTGGAAATCCTTGGAGGTCTTTGTCTAGCAGTGGACGTCATTCGGCTGAAATGAATGAACAAACGAAGGGTACAGGTACAAATACATAGAATACATTTCATTTGGACGGAGCAAGTCAAACTATCCAAAGACGAATTCTGATAACGTCTCACGTGTCACAAAACCAGACAACAGAAAAACTATTGTTTGGTGAGATACAAATGATTCAATGGGACTAAAGAGATAGTTGAACTCGAACCTTAAACTGTACATATAAAGTTCACAATCCGTTTGCTAATTTGGTCATTTTGTGGTCTGTAAATGTTACATTGTGTATGTACATCATTATACATATTTCTATGAAATTGTCAGTAAATGTGTCTCCAGGTTTTTGCATTAATTTCATTAATATGAAAGATTTTACAAAATATTAATCCTAATAGATGACGTGTTCTGATTTCTTGATGAATTTTATTAGTAAATATGAAACAACTTAACATTATCTTTTCTTAAACTTTTGCGTGCTTGTGATCAATACATTTTCATTGCATTTTGGCATAAACAGCAGTTTTTTAATTCAATTAGGTATAACATTGTTAATGATAACCTTATTATCTTAAAAATAGAATTAGTATGCCAACCGGTAATACGTATTGTTACAATTTTATCCGTTTATTACATTGTGGCGACTGGCGTATTTGTTATAACTTTACAAGCGCTATCCGATCGATAATGTATAGGTTATGTCATCAAATACATAATTACGACGTAAAATAGTAGCTGTGGCAAGATCTCTACATAAATAATGAGCAGAATTAAGTGTAATTAATCGTTTAAAATACCTTGTAGTTATCGAATCCTTCGAGATGCTCCCGACTAAGGTATTTGTAGTTAAACATTTTTGACAAATATGATAAACACAGTCACGAACCATATAATTTAACTTGGATGAACACTACTTTATTTTTAGGTACATTATTTTGTTTTAATTAATGCTTGGTTTGTGTTTAAATCACGTTCGTAAAGTAGAAAAGAATGCGCTAATTTAAAATGACAAGAATGACAGCTTCCTGATTTGACAATGGCAAAATCTGTGGGCAAATGGCAAGCTTGTCGCTTATTTTAACTTCTGTCAGATGTGGTTGATTACGGTTCACTAAAATGAGATTCTTCGGGTCACTAAAATAAAGTTGTAAGTATTTTGTGTTGATGTTAGTCGCGCTCGTTACGTCCTTATAGGTACGAAAAATAATATCTATTCCTTTAAAATGTCTGCGGTTGCGCCCAGTTAAATCAAAATTATTGTAAAAAAACCTAGACAAACATTTCATATAAATTTTACGGAAAGATACTTTGCTATTAATGTCACGAAAGGCGTTTAACGTTTTAACGCTTAATAAGATATTTTTAGGTTTCCGTAGCCAAATGGCAAAAAACGGAACCCTTATAGATTCGTCATGTCTGTCTGTCCATCCGTCCGTCTGTCCGTCCGTCCGTCCGTATGTCACAGCCATTTTTTTCCGAAACTATAAGAGCTATACTGTTGAAACTTGGTAAGTAGATGTATTCTGTGAACCGCATTAAGATTTTGATGCAAAAATAAAAATAAAAAAATATTGGGGGCTTCCCATACTTAGAACTGAAACTCAAAAATTTTTTTTTCATCAAACACATATACGTGTGGGGTATCTATGGATAGGTCTTCATAAATGATATCGAGGTTTCTTAAATATTTTTTTTCTAAACCGAATAGTTTGCGTGACAGACGCTTCCAAAGTGGAAAAAAGTTGGTCCCCCCCCCTCTAACTTCTAAAATAAGAAAACGAAAAATCTAAAAAAAACATATAATATGATGTACATTACTATAAAAACTACAAACGAAAATTGTTTTGAACGAGATCTAGTAAGTAGTTTTTTTTAATACCTCGTAAATTGCAAACCGCTTATTACCGCGTAATCTTTCTTACAAATAACTTAAATTTCATAAATCAATGGTACGGAACCCTTTGTACGTGAGTCCGACACGCACTTGTCCGGTTTTTTGGTGTTTCATGAGCATGTAAGCTTGCTTATTGAAAATGATTCCACCGGAGCTCAAAGATACTTACGAAACCGCGAGTTTTGTCCTAACTTGGAGATTCGTCCGCAGCTCCGCCTCAGGCTAGCTAGAGGCTCGTTGATGAGCGAATCTCTCCGAGTTTGAAGGGTCCCCGAATCTCCTCCTCCAGTAGTATTCATAGAGTTTGTCTCCTAGTGACCCTAATAGAACAGGACAGGGCCGCCGGCCCGTGGGCCAGTGGGTTAAGAAGGTCTAATCCATGCCGCTGCTCTGCCAGCGCCAGTGGCATGGAGCAGGCCGTAAGGCCTCAGCCTCGAACTTAGCGGGCAGCGGCGCGGGAGCGGCGGCGGGGCGGGAGTGGCAGGATCTTATGCGTAAAATCAAATAGACCGGTTCTCGAAAACAGCGGCGCGGCAGCGGCGCCGGAGCGGGCAACGAGCGGGCAGCGGCGAGGGAGCGGGCAACGAGCGGGCAGCGCACTCCTTCTTTTGCCCACAATAAATCGAGCGTAAGGAATAAATTTGAATCGAAATAAAATTGTCGCCGTTGTTCAGACATTTCGTTCGCGAATAAAAACAAATATCTCGACAACACAACCCCGAACACAACACTTCGCTGCTAAAGCGCCGCGCGAGCTGCCCGCTGGTTTCGAGAACGGGTCTGCGTTGCCCGCCCCGCTCCCGCGCCGCCGCCCCGCTCCCGCGCCGCCGCCCCGCTGCCCGCTAAGTTCGAGGCTGAGGCCTAACCCACTAGCGCGGGCGGCGCGCGGCGGCAAGCGGCCCTCCAAATAATGGGTCTGGGAACATGCCCCGCCCAGCCCCCATCTATGGGGATTTATTAAAGATTTCTCCTATTTCGTAGCCCGGGCAAAGGTCTCGACGGCCCTAGCCCACTCATTGTGAGTCACGGGTGGTTACGGGTTGTCCAACAGGCCGAGTTGACGAGATCTACAGCGCTTGGGCAGAATCCCAACTTCCCAACTAATATTATAAATGCGAAAGTAACTCTGTCTGTCTGTCTGTCTGTTACGCTTTCCCGCTTAAACCTCGCAACCGATTTTGATGAAATTTGGCATAGAGATAGTTTGAGTCCCGGGAAAGAACATAGGATAGTTTTTATCCCGGTTTTTGAAACAGGGACGCGCGCGATAAAGTTTTTCTGTGACAGACAAAATTCCACGCGGGCGAAGCCGCGGGCGGAAAGCTAGTTTGCAATAAATTAGTGACTATCTTCTTTATAAGCAGTCGCTTCATGCACGTGGGGCAGGGAATTCCCTTGCCTAATTTTATTGTAGGTAAGTAGTTTACGTCATCATCTAAAGCTAGGTACCTTAATAGATAAGTAGGTACTTAATCAGATACAAATAATCGGTAAAATAATATATACTTAGGCTCTTGTTTGTAATACTTACAGACAGACATATTGAAACCGGATATTTCTTTCAAGTGTCTTTGTTTTTTATCATTAGATTTTTATGATTCATAATAATCAATGGGTGTCCTTCGAGCATCAAATAGCTATCACCTAAGTATGTAACGCTGATGTCAACGATATTAAAGGATTTAAATGCAATAATAACAATATCGATAAGATTCCAGAGGTGTAGCCTGGCCCTTGGGGGGCATGGCCCCTGAGAGGCATGACCCCTGGAGGCACGCGACGATTTTTTCTGATATAAAAATAAAAATCCGAATCCCGCCCGTAACATTACTACGCGCCAAGCGATCATACATTAATTGACAACTAAAAATAGTCCTTAAAGCTTAAGGCCTAATGATAGATCGCCCGGAGTCCTGCCAGCAGGACTTAAAGTACTTCCGGTAGGACGCAAAATTAAAAGATCACAGTTTCGTAAGTATACATTGTACAAATTTCAAATTTACACGAAAAAATAGAGTGTTTCTCTCTCTTTCACCCAATAGTGCCCAAGATCGAAAAACGCGACTAACCGTTAGTCGGAGCCCGATGGCGCACGAGTATACACGGGGGCAGCGCGTTCGCGCTCGCGCGACACATTTTGACGCGCCGGGCGTGGAGTCGGCAACATTTTGGCGATAATATTATAATGAATGTGAAGTATTCCAGCCTAATCAAACATTTATAATTTATTTCTTGTTTTTGTTTTTAATTTGTAGTGTATTTGTAAGTGATAGGTATAATTTCTAATACAAAGTGACGTACCAAAGTAATTAATTTAAAGTTCCTTATTATAGTTCCTATTAGTTAAGTTGAAAGAAGATAAACAAGTTTATAATATATTAAGAAAAGTAAAATACTGGTTAAACAAAATGATTCTACGACATGACTTTTTATTTAATAAACACTAACCAAGTGTTTACTACTTCTGGTGAGGATGAGTTCAAATTTGAAGGTCACCGTACTGCTGGAAGGACCAGCAAGCAAACACGTACAAATTGCGTACTGCGGGCAGGACTTGCGATAATCTTCTGGCAGGACGTTTAGAACAAAAGACCAGTCCTTCCAGAAGAGCTTCCAGCAGGACAAAGCACCGGGCGATCTATCACTAAGGCCCTAAGGCTTACCACGTTTCGGTGCACAACAGAGGGCACCGAAAAGCCGGCCTAATACGTTCGTGCGACGAAGGGAAAGATTATACAGTAATGTACACACTACACCGCACAAGATTAAACACTACAATCCGATCTTACTGCGCACCTCTCTGAAATGCGACTCTCCTTCGCACTCACGCGCCCTCTCTGCGTTCGCCCCATTTTTGCCAGAGAGCGTCGATGTGACGTCACGGCCGCCAGGTACTGCGCAGTAAACTCGACGGGTTGTGTGTACACTTTCAGAAATAAAAAATAGTTACAGGTGCTTTTGTAAACCTACAATTTGAGCCTAATTCGACTAGTTACTCCCGGTCTATTAGGTCTAAGTACTATAATAGGCATGTTTTCAAAAGTGAACATCTGTAGGGTGCCTCTCGGTAGTAGGTAGGTTTTATGTTCTTCAAAAGTAAAATAAATCATACCAAATAATAAAAATGAAAAAAATATAATTAAATTGGCTAAGTTCTGGTCGGCTCCGAACGAAGATAACCCTCACGATACGCCACTGGATAAGATAAAAATAACAGAAAGCGACTTATCAGTAGCGAACAGCGAATGCGAACATACGTGTACAAGTAACAAAATAACATTTGCAAAAATGCTCGGAAAAGGTAAAAGAAAGAAGAAAAGACGAGGAAGTGGGAGACCAGTCGATGGTGATAACACCCCAAATGATGGCTGCTCAAATGCAGGAGATAGTGAAAATGAAGGCAATGAACGTGTTAATATAATTTATGGTGTTCCAATAAACAATAGTGATGAAGAGAGTTTGTTAGACACTGATGGTGTATTAGCGTCTTCTAGCACACTTGTTTTGGATGCTCAAATGAAGAAACCTCCCGTTTTGCCTCTTGAAGATAAAAAAGAAGATATCGATTACATTGAATACGTTCGTGAAGAGAGTTTAAAAGAACACGAGGAAACACATGAAATAGTATATAACAAAAGAGCCTTATCAAAGGAAGCACCTACGTACGAATTGGAAAAATTCGGAAAACATGCTTTGTTAATATTCAATCAGTGCAATATAGAAGGATATGTAAGACCAAGATTAGGCACTGAAAGAGACGTCGAAGAACTTGAAAAAACATTCAAATCTTTTGGGTTTGAAGTGGAAACAGTACCGGATTTGACTAAAGAAGAAATAAGAACGAAGTTAAAAGAATGTAAGTACGAGTACCTACCTAAGCAATGGCCAATCCAACTGTGTTGCTTTTTCAAATAAATTGATACATCTTTTTGTAAATTGGATGGTCTCAACAATAGTGTTTTTCTTCATTTTCATGTGGCTTCCCCCAATGATTTCCATAATGACTTGATGGCCTGCATCCAGCGCTGTCCTACCTTTATGAAGTGGTCTGTCCACCTTGTGGGTGGACGTCCTACGCTGCGCTTTATCCTTTTGTTTATTTTCTTTTTGTTTTTAAGGGTTAGTAGCAATGAATATTTGGACTGATTTGGTCATATTATATTTACCTTGGTAAAACCGTATCCACAAATGACGTCATAAGTAAACAGGGATTTCCCTGTATTTTCATACAAACTCCAAGAGTTCCCGTAAACGGCAGACTTTATCGACAGATAAGTAGTTTGGATTCGGCCGATAAGTATCAAATCGGTGTAATGTGCTATGAAAGGTATATATATATATATACCGATTAACATTCTGATCGAACTATCGGCTGACAAAAAGACATTCAGGTATCTGTGTGGACGCTAAGGGCCCTTTCCCATGATAATGCAGTTTCGGATCGGTTTTATTCAGGACACTGCCAATGAGATGTTCGTGTAATGTTATACAGAGTGGCCCAGAAGAAAATTCACTTTTGAAAATTCAAGGAAATGAACACTACATTTTTGTACGTTAACTATTGCAATTTAAAGGAAATTTAGTGCAATTTATTTTAAAATTTACTTTCTTTTATAAATTTTATCGTCGTACATGTGATTCCCTTGACGTTTACAACATTCGGTCAACATACATAAAAATATTGGAAAACTTTCGTTAGAGTAACTTCGAAATGGATTCAGGATGAATGCTGCAGAGTTTATGGATTATTAGAGTATACTCTGCTCGTAAAGTAACCCCACAAATAGAAATCTGCTAGAATGAGATTAGCGCTTCTTAGAGGCAATGAGATTTCATCCCTGCTTAATTGGTTTGTTGCATTGAAAGGATGATTAATTCGAAATTCGCAAGGCTATGACCGGAGCACTTCGTTACATCAAGATGGGGCTGGGTCATTCCACCGGCTAAGAAAATCACGTGTCCGGGGCCAAAAAGTACCCGAATATCATAATATAGGTAATATAGGTTCTTGTTGTTAAACTACAGAGATAGTTAATAATAGTTGTTTAAGTAATTTAAAAAAAATCGTAAGTCGTCAAAAATTGATTACCACGACGTGTCCGCGCTCCCGATTTCAGAACAAATTTGCTCGTATAAATTAATCCGTTATTATTACCGCTTTCAATGCTTATGTAATCGATTACTGATTAAATAAACATTGATAAATTAAATACGATATAACTATATCACTAAAAGGTTTTGTAAAATAAATATTTGAAGTTGTGTCCGGGCGTTAACCGTGATTACCCCGACACGCCGCTAATGTGCGCCTACGTCCCTAGCTACGCAATTTAGAAACGAGCTCTATCCTCCACCGTGAACCTTTAGTGGTGGCCTGCGTGCCGAGGTGATCGGTAATGCAAGTCGTCGCAGGATTTCGGAGTTATCGAGATAAGAATATGATTACCCCGACCTTGGTTCAGTGCACGATTGATTTACTCTATCCTGTTTTTTTAGGTTTCTTTACATGGAAAGTTCTTGAGAATGTACAGGAATAATGGTCCATGTAACCGCATTTTTGTGTATTAAAACATATGGGATTCAACTTACAGATTGGGCAGGGCTCAGGATAAACCTTAATTTTTTGACTACCCCGACCTTGATTACCCCGACTTTTGTCACCGAGTAATCAATAATACTCAGAGCTACCTTCGCACAACTTCGAGCCGTATGGCAGTCACGGAAATTGACCCAAGCAAGATCAAAATATTCGGGTCCAACGTCAAACCAGTTCTGCTCTATGGGCGTGAAACGTCGAAGGTCACTAAGGTTATCTCGCACCAGCTGCAGATCTTCTTCAGCCGCTGTCTTCGCCAAATTCTCCAAAATCTTCAAACAACGAACTTTTGGAACGCTGCCACGAAATACCGATCTTTCAGCAGAATAAACGCTGCAAGTGGAACTGGATAGGCCACACTCTCCGAAGGGACCCCGATCACATCCCCAAGCAGGCTCTAGATTGGAACCCCCAGGGAAAATGCAGACATGGTCGCGCCAAAAAAACATAGCGGCGCACTGTTAAGACTTGGAGTGAGATCAAACACGAAGCTCAAGACCGAATGCGATGGAGGACTGTTGTGGACGCCTTCTGTCCCATATAGGAGACATAGGACATTGAGTCACTAATATTATATGTATAATGTATAGTATATGTATGTTTTTTACTCTTTTACGCAACAACTAGGTACTTAACAGATTTTGTTGAAACTTTACAATATTGTCGTTTATACATCAAAATAACAAATGGCTAGTTATAATAACATTTATTTTACCATAACTTAAAAAAAACTTTAGAAAATAAAATATTTTGTTTTATTTTTGATTACTCTGACTCCCAACTTTGATTACCCCGACCATGAAAATTTTGATGTCGCATAACTTTTTATTCCTGCTTGCTACAGATGGGCCAATATAAAAAATATGCTCGTAATAATGTCTATTTTGAAATGTATTACCTAAAGTTACTCTAAATTCAAAAATAAAAAAGGTCGGGGTAATCAACAAAATAATCCAGATCCGGAGAATGACCGGGCTACGTGTCACACTTCAAATGTGAGCATTTAGATGGTAAGAGACATGTTCCCACAAAAAAATAATTTCAAGCAGGGGTGACATCTCCTGGCCACCAGGAAGCCCTGATCTCACTCCAGAAAATTCTTTTTTGTGGTGTTGTTATCAATGGTGGCCCCTTATCATCTAGAGAAAGGTCTTTCGAGCAGACGACGAGGGCGACAGAGCCCCTCGGTCACGGGGCCCTGGGCACGTGCCCAAAGTGCCCAGTGGGAAAAGGGGCCTGCGTGTGACGCACTCTTTGCTGTCATGGCTTATACTACCTACTGAGCATTGGGCTGAATGTGAGATTATAATATCAAACGTCCTCGCTAAAAATTTAGTTCTTCAAAAAGTTTCCGCTAGGGGCGCTGTACAATCCGTCATACATTTATTGTCATTTTTTACGCGCTAACTACTCGTAGTGAGGACGTTTCACACTCAGCTCTCTGATGCTATTTTGGTGTTTGTAACTTTGTACCCCGCTGTTTAGTTTTATTAAATACATTAGTTGTTATAATTTTATTTGGGTTTCAAGTCCACGACTCTTTGTTCTTATTTCCCACCGGTTCCATGAAATAATAACATTTTCACAGAAAATGCTTTTTTATTTTTGATGTCGTGGACCGTTGGGGATCAAAGTATGAACTTAAATAGTAGAGCTGTGACCTTTGGGAATAAGCCATTTTTATGTACAGTCAGCGTCGACGAACTAGTTATTCGTGACACCTAAAGTGACCAAAAAGTTGTCAACACAACCTTATTCCATTTGTAACAAAGACGTGTTGCGAACCTTTTGGCTACATTGGGTGTCACGAACCATTTGACGCTGACTGTTCGTTCGTTCGTTCGGTTTAGCCGAAAGATGTCCACTGCTGGACAAAGGCCTGCCCCAGGGATTTCCACAAAGACCGGTCCTGCGCCGCTCGCATCCAGGCACCTCCCACGACCCAGTGGCGGCGTAGCATGGGTTGGCACCCGGGGCGATCACCCCCCTCCCCCCGTAATAAGTCCTAAGGCACCCCCTGATTTTCGAAGATTGAAAGACAATCGCCCCCCCCCCCCCTGATCATGACATAGACCGCAGATTTGCCATGCAGATGTGCCACTGAGTACTAATCTGCGCGACTTGTGTCTAGAGGTGGGCGCCGATATAAAATTGGCCGGCGGCGGCGCGCCGACTTTTTGACCTCGGCGGCGGCGGCGTCGGCGGCGTGACCTTGTTTGACCTTTGTTCATTAGGTTTATTTTTAAATCTGCTTTTTTAGTATCTGTCGTCAAGACTAATCAGGTGATTTGCAGTTGATTGGGGTTTGAGCCACTAAAGCAGTGGTTTACCCTAGTAAATTAGCTCTCTTGATCATAGATACTTTGATATTTGGATAGTGAGTTTGGCTGAGATCAAGTTCTCGTGTATTTCCTAAAGGCGAGCGTACCAATGTGCCGATAAAAGTACCCTTAACATGTATTTTTGAGCTCTTTGGAGGCACATAGTTAATGTTGGATTAGCTGACTGTCGGTGGAATATTATATTCAGTTCTGTTTTATTTATATTTATGGTCTTTCCATGTCATCCTACGGTCCAGGATTTTAATGCAGGTTGATTGCAGCAATGTGTCGAGGTCTAGATTGGCCGGAGGATAAGTTTCACGTCTTAAATGATAATATGGTGAGACTTCGGGGCTTAATTACATGCGCCACTTGGTCAGCCAAGCAGCTGACATTGCAACAGTCTAGTCACTTTAAGATCACAGTTACATTTGAGGAATGCCTCAGCTTTCTGGTGTCTGGGCTACTTTACTAGTAGATGTTATAGAGTATCGGACCAAGTACAGAGTCCTGGGGTACTCCAGCTCTGCAGCTAAAAAGAGAAGATTTTGTCACCGAGTTTGATTTAAAACTGTCTGCCTCTGAGATAAGAATCCATCAGCAGGTAGTAGTCCTTTATAATAAACCCAGCTGAAGCCGCAGCGAAAGCAGACGTACAGGATTCTTTCTTTGTCAAACATTGTACTGATTATGGTTGGTATGGTTTCTGCCAAAATTTCTGGTCGGATATACTGTATTACATGGGTCATACTTAGGCAAGAGAATAAACGAGCAAGAATGATCCTTTTCCATAATTTTAACGGTACAAATGTCAGATTAATTGAGCGATAAGAGAATTCGTTAGGCGACTTGCCAGCCTTATGGATCATTTCCAAAGTTAAGAGACTTGCGAGATTCTTCTCACTCAGTGTGGTCATTGTCAAGACCATGGACTTCATGGTGATCAGATCAAATGCAAGCAAGTGCTTTACAAGGGTCCATTTTGGCTATTTCTTTAGCTTAGCCATCTCTCA